AGCCCAAATAGAGGAAGATATATACATACCATGGAATTTTATCAAGAAATTAAGTACTGATACATGCTATACAATATAGCTCAACCTTAAAAGCATTACGCTGTTAATATATGAAAGAAATCAGTCACAAAGGAACACATATCATATGATTTCATTTATATAAAATAACCAGAATAGAATTATATATAGAGAAAGTAGATTAGTGGTGGCCTAGGGCCAGAAGAAGCTTGAGTAGAAATGGGGTGTGACTGTTAATGAGGACAGAGTTTCCCTTAAAGGTGAAACTGCATATCAATTGTTCATTCACTCACTCCATTCTCTTTAAATGTATTCACCAAGAGTGGCCTATACATTGACTTAATTGTGCACCCATCCATCCATCCATTAATTTATTGATCCTGTAAACATTCACGGCCCATTCTGAGGACTCTTGTGAGGGTGGATTCCTGGCTCTGAGCTACCTCCTCCAACTTTTCTACACCAATTAATATCTCTAAGTAGACTCTGTGTAATTGGGTCTTTGGGGCATCATCCCTGAAGCACCCTAAAGTTTCTAAGCTGGGCGAATTTCCCCTTCTGCCTCTAAATTGCCTTGGGGATGGTGCAGTCCCCCGGTGCAGGGAGCTTTGAAAGGACCCTGCTCCCCGGGAGGCTGTCGGCCAGCATGGAGCTGGGAGCGGCTTGGTCAGGCAGTCCCTGGCTGCTGAGAGTCAACCACCGGGCACCCTGCTCAGCCTTGCACCCAGCAGAATGTCCCGGTTCTATCCAACCCGACACAGTTCAGAGAAGGCGCTGAATTCTAAGTGCCTGGTCTACTTCTCCCAAATTCTCAGAGCTCCGCTTAACTGTATCACATTGCAAGCACTTCACTAAACTCTACAAAAGCCTAGGTGTGTCTTCCTAGTTTGGAAAGCTCCATCAGTGTGAAACTCCGGGTCCTGTCCACTGAGGTTCCCTGGAGAGAGGAGGTGCAGACCTGCTTCTTGGACCTGTGTTCTCCTGACTACAGCCAGTGAAGGTTCCTGGTCTCAGAAACATCTTCCAGGGAACAAGGCACATGGATCTGGAAGAGGCTGAAGGTAAGTAAAACAATGGTGACATGGGGCAGAGGAAGGGGCTGGGATCAGGAGCCCCGGGGAACTCCCGCAGCCTTGGTTTCCCCTCTAACTCACCGTGCAGCACTGGGCAAGCCCCTCCTTCTCTGAGCTTCATTTCTCCCACACCTAACAAGGGGTGGTCTTGCTGATCTGCAGGCCCCCTCCCAGTTCAGACAGGTGTCATCCAGGCTAGGAACAGCTTGGAGTGAGCGGCCAGCTGCTCTCTCCCAGTGTGTCTTAGCCTCAGGAAGTGGCAATGGGACAGGAAGAAGCTGGCTGTGGCCAGGCTGGGGGCTTCAACTTGGCCTTGAGAATCTGGGTGAGGAGGGGAGAAGGCAACCTCCCTGTGGGCTGGTGGGGCTAAGCAACCGGCTGGAAGCCAGGGAGGAGGGTGAGCACCATCCCCCAGGTGCACACCCATGGCCATGATGCATACAGGACAGAGGGCTTGGGTGGCCTGGGAGAGGATCAAGGGAGGCTCTCCAGGGGAAGTGGCACTTGAACTGGTTTTCAGAGGGCATTTGGCCAGAAGATACGCAGAAAGACACTGTGGGCTCTGCAAATGAAGCTCCCTGGCCCAGCTCTGGGAACCAGTGTCCCACAGCCTGCAGCCACATCCCTCGTCCCGGCTCTTCTTGGCCCCCGGTCCAGGAGAGAAGGCTGAGCGGCTCAGATTCTCAGGTTCTCAGCACTCAGGCCAGAAGGCAGATGAAGCTCGGAGCAGGCTGCTCACCATGTCCCGGGCCCGAGCTCTCTTTGTCCTCAGGGTTCATCCCAGGCAGAGATTGCTTCCCAGCTGCAGGGCTGCTGCTTCCCCCACGATACTCCCAGGGCTAGACCCCCTCTGTCCTGCCTGTTCCTCTGAAGCTCTGGCCACGGGGCCAAGGGCCTGCTCTACTGGGTGTGTGTGTGTGTGTGAAAGAGAACAAGAGTGAGTGCCTGCCGCACATACACTCAAGCCGGGACTGTGCATGCACACACATGAGCCCGCTGTGGTGTGTATCCTCACAGGTGAAGTGTGCATCTGGCTGCCAGTCGCGTGTTTGGGCGTACAGGCAGGCAGGTGCCCGGGTGGCGACCTGTGTGTGTGTATGTAGATTCTGACAGGTGTATCTGCAGCCACTGACCTCAGACAGCTGCCAGTGCCTTTAGGGGATAAGGTATGTGGTCCACCAAACTATGCGAAGGAGGAGGCTATGGCCTGAACCAGCCGCCGGGCCTGCAGCACAGTGCCCACCGCCTCTGTGCCCCCCAACCCTGGCACGGCCCCTGCTGCCACTGCTACTCCGTCCAGGGTGCCTCTCCAGGAAGCCAGCCTGGAGTTTCCTTGCTGAAACTTGAAGGGAGCTCACAGCTCACGCTCTCCTGACCCTGCAACGGCTCTAGACACAGTCAAACTGAGGCAAGACCTTCTATCTGAGATGCCAGGGCAAGGCCAGTGCTCTTTTTGCTGCAGAAAGGCCCCTCCGCCCCCGAGGCAACACGCAAAGCTCGGGAACCCGCATCTATGCATGTGAACGCATATTCCACAGGGGCCCCAGCCCTGTGGTGGAGGAGGCCCAGGGAGACCCAGAGAGAGTCCACATCAGGAAGGATTTTGTGATGCTTCAAGTGGCCTGACGGCAAAAAGAAAAGTGTGTCTAAGGGAGTCATCTTCCCGTCACTAGAGGCATGCACACAGAAGCAGGATGAGGCTCGGGTAGGAACTGGAGAGGATTTTTACCAGGGGATGGTTGAGGCTTCCTGGCCTTGGGGCACACGTGTTCTCATTCCTTCCCCTAATGCCTAGCACCATGTCTGGAATATGATAGAAACTCAATCCCTTCTCGATTCTGAAAGGAATAAACACGGTAGGTCTAATAGAAGGAAATTGTCTCCTGCAAGGGCAGCATTGAGGAACAGGTGCCCGACCCAGACCCAGGCTTGGACAGTGTGTCCCATGGGTTCCAAGAGCCCGAAACACTAGGGAAAGTTCAAGTTCTGTTCCTTAGCTTGTGAGAAGATTGGGAGCAGGGGGAGACTCTCAGGAGAAAGATGTCCATCTAGGGTGATGAAAGAACAACCAACATTTGGGGTTTAACAGAAGCAAACATCTGCTGCGAGCTCAGTGCAGCTGTCATGCTGTTAGGAGAACAGGATTTTAGACTCATCTCGCCAGGAACCCACTGTCCAGCCTCAGTTTCCCTACCTGCACAATGGGAGCTCCAATGGATTAATCTCTCAAGCTTATTCCAATTTGATGCCTAGGAGTTCATGAAGCCCAAGCAGCTCTGGCTCAGGTTAAGAGAAAATAGGAGGTTGGTTGAAAGGTCCATCAAATTTTCATCCAAAAACACATCAGTAGTCAGTTCAGTTGCTCAGTCGTGTCCAACTCTTTGCGACCCCGTGGACTGCAGCATGCCAGGCTTCCCTGTCCATCATCAACTCCCAGAGCCGGGTCAAACTCGTGTCTGTTGAGTCAGTGGTGCCATCCAACCATCTCATCCTCTGTTGTCCTCTTCTCCTCCTGCCTTCACTCTTTCCCAGCATCAGGGTCTTTTCTAATGAGTCAGCTCTTTGCATCAGGTGGTCAAAGTTATTGGAGCTTCAGCTTCAGCATCAGTCCTTCCAACGAATATGGTGAAGATCGATTCTGAAGGTCAGTCCGCAGTAGCTGATGAAGCAGGACTTCTGGGCGCCCAGGTGGATGAGCCCCTGATGGGCTCAGAGGCCAGCAGCCCCTCCAATGCAAAGTACAACGTGTGCTTCATGCATGGAGACCAGAGCTGAGTGCAGAGGCAAGTCAGAGTTCTGCAGGCTGGGGGATGAGTGAGACAGGCACCTCCATCAGTGGGAGCAATGAGATGCAGCTCAAGCCTTCCTGAAAGCCAGGAGGACCCTCAGAGACCATCTGGGCCAGTGAGTCTCAAAGTGCGGTCCCCTGACCAACAGAACAGCATCACTCAGACTTAATGAGATAGAAACTGTTTTCACAGACTTTCCAGGTGATTCTCATGTAATCTTTACAGGGGATTCTAAGATTTGAAGACCTTCCATCCAACCCATTGTTCCCGAAACGATGCCGCTAGAACACGTTATTTGCAGAAGGTTAACGGGTGCTCTGTAAAAGGAGGATCTATGGTCAAATAAATTTGGAAACTACCTACTCTCTACATCACTTTCAGAAAGTCACAAATCACAGTGGTGTGTTAATGACTCTGAGTAGTTCTGCAGTAAATTATTTACTTTTGATTAATCCAACATTGTTTCAGATTGCTTTTTCAGATTGCCCAATTTCCATTAACACTCTCTTAGAGAAATTGTGACCCACCTCAATCCTCATTTTTCACATGGATCTATTGAAAACTGGAAGAAGTGTGGGGACTGCCCAAAGTCTCAGAGAGAAACTGGCTCAGGGCTCAAAAAGGCCCTAGCAATACGCTTCACCCCTAAAGAGACTCTGTGGGCTCCCCGCCACCCTGCACCCTCTTTCCCTGCCTCCCAGCCATGTGTCCCGCCAGAGCTCTGAGATATGGAGCCCGTCAACAGCACAGACGTGTCTGAGTTCTTCCTGAAAGGATTTTCAGGTTACCCTGCCCTGGAGCACCTGCTCTTCCCTCTGTGCTCAGCCATGTACCTGGTGACCCTGCTGGGGAACACAGGCATCGTGGCAGTCAGCGTGCTGGAGGCCCGCCTGCACACACCCATGTACTTCTTCCTGGGCAACCTCTCCATCCTGGACATCTGCTACACGTCCACTTTTGTGCCCCTGATGCTCGTCCACCTGCTGTCAGCGCAGAAGACCATCTCCTTTCTTGGCTGCGCACTGCAGATGTGTCTGAGTCTGTCGACAGGCTCCACAGAGTGTCTGCTGCTCGCCATCATGGCCTACGACCGCTACCTGGCCGTCTGCCGGCCGCTTAGGTACCCCGTGCTGATGAGCCGCCGGCTCTGCTGCTTGCTGGCGGGAGCCGCCTGGGTCCTCTGCCTGCTCAAGTCGGTGACTGAGACAGTGATCGCCATGAGGCTGCCCTTCTGTGGCCATCAGGTGGTCAGCCACTTCACCTGCGAGATCCTGGCAGTCCTGAAGCTGGCCTGTGCTGACACGTCCATCAGTGAGGCCTTCCTGCTGGTGGGCGCCATCCTGCTGCTGCCTGTGCCCCTGGCCTTCATCTGCCTGTCCTACACGCTCATCCTGGCCACCACCCTGAGGGTGCCCTCGGCCGCGGGGCGCCGCAAAGCCTTCTCTACGTGCTCAGCACACCTGGCCGTGGTCATGCTTTTCTACAGCACTGTGATCTTCATGTACATGAAACCCAAGAGCAAGGAGGCCCGTGTCTCTGACGAGGTCTTCACGGTCCTCTACGCTGTGGTCACACCCATGCTGAACCCCATCATCTACAGCCTGAGGAACAAGGAGGTGAAGGAGGCCGCCAGGAAGGTGTGGGGCAGGATGCAGGCCTCTAGGTGAGGGAGGCCAGGGCTCCTGCAGGTTAGCAGGTCAGGTCTGCCTTCGCCTACAGAGAGGGTGGATAGGGCGCAGGGTTGGGGGTCTGGAATCTTCAACCCAGAAAGGCAGCACCACCTCCCGCTGATCCTGCCACAGATCCGAGCTCACAATTCCGCCTTTGTTCCTTCCCCAGGCAGAGCCCTGGGCCAGCTCTCAGCATCACTCCCCGCATCTTCACACCAGCCTCCCGGCTGGCCTCAAGATTTCAGTCTTGCTCCTCCCAGTCTACCCTCCAAGGTCGTCCAGAGGGCTTTCTGGAAAACTCTATTTGATCACGTCTCTCTCTTGACTGAAACCGCTGAATAGCTCCCAGAGCTCTCAGGACGAAGTGGAAGGGCTTCACTGGGGGCATTACAGGCCCCTGCAACCTGGCCCTGGAGCTCATGACCAGCTCCCTCTCCCGCCCTGCGCCCCACAGACTCCTCCCGCCAGACGCACACCCGCCCGGCAGGAGCCTCGGTGCGCCCAGCAATGTCCAGCCCTGTGCCCTTCTTGCCCCTTCCCACAAGGCAGCCCCACCCAGCACACAGCTCCCTGTGTAAAAGGACGGCCTGATCCTTAAGGCCCGTCTTTTTATTTTTAAAATGTAGTTCCCTAAGCTACACATGAGGTCCTTGTTGTTTTCCTAATTTATATATAGTACTGTAAATCTGTTAACCCCCAGCTCCTAATTTACCCCTCCCCCCACCTCAAGGCCCATCTTGAATGACACCTCCTCCAGGAAGTCTCCCCACTCTGCACCTCTCACTGTGCTCCTCCCGCTTTATTTCACTGGTGATCTAAGAGCCGGTAGTACCGGCTTTCAGTCTGTCTCAAGGTCTGGCCCTACCCAACCCCATGCCCACACCAGTTTCTTAAACAGAAAACACATCAGCATAGGGCAGAGCCTGGGGTCCTTCCCAAATCTGAGCAGGGTTCAGATGAAGTTTGCAGATGACAGGCACAGTCTAGCGCCTGGGGATGTGATCGCAGAGGCAGTGATGAGGCCCAGCCTCCAAGATTTCCGGCCCAGCCCAGGCCCTGGGACACTGGTCACCTGGAGCAGCTGAGGGTCTGGCTTCCTCTATCGCATTAGCAGCAGCCCCTCCATCGCCTCCGTGCCGAGCATCCAGGCTTCATGTGGCCTTGGGGAGACTCTGCTTCACCCGTCTTCACCCCACCTACTAACACCCTGCCATTTCTACGTCTTCCTGGAGCTCAGCCTCTTCCTAGGTTTGAACACACGGAGGAAACGGACTCAGACTTGAGAGCATCTCCATTCCCTGCCCCATCTGGCCTCCATGGTACCATCTTGTGTGATGGGAGAGCTCAGCCGCCGCACAGCAGGCCCAGTCTCCTGTGCCCGGCAGATAAGCACAGTCCTTGTCTGAAGCCTCAGGTACCCTCCAGTCCCTCTTCCTGCTTCCTCTGTTGGTCAGAACTGAGGCGCAGAGAGCAGCAGAGCCCGCAGCCCACAGCTGACCAAGCCAGGGCGAAGCTTCTGCAGAGATGTCTGCCAGTCCTCTGATGCCATGACCGGAGTTTGGACTTTATGCTGTGGGGACTGGGAGTTTACAGTCACACTTACTTTTAGCAGGGCCACTGATTAGACACCATTCTTCACCCATGAAACTGGCAAAGAATTTTTCTAACACATATTGTTAACTATAGTGCAGTGAAGCAGGTAATATCATACACAGCTGGTAAGGGTGGGAATAAATTTTTATGAACTTCCTGCCAAGTAAGTTGTGGGTATGAATCAAGAGACTTGAAAACTTCACACCCTTTGACCCAACACCTCTTCTTTTAGGAATTACTCAGAGAAAATTATTACAGGTACAAAGATTTATCTATTTATCTATCTATATGATATTAATCACAGAGGTATTTTTGGTAACAAAAATTGTTAAGACTCATAACCTCCAACTGGGGCAGAATATGTAAATAAATTCTGGTGGAGCCCAATGATGTACTGTGACACAGTCATTGTAAATCTTATTTTTTGAAGAATAATTGATGATGGGAAATGTTCACACTGTAATTAACATTCAAAAAGGTAGAACAAGTAACTTTGTACTCAATATAATCTCAATTTTTTAATATTTTCTTAAGGATATATGAATAAGTATGTATATAGAAATTCCTGGAAAATTATGGCAACATATTAACTAACAATTGTTTCCTAGAGGTGATGGAGTTAGAGATTAATATTGCTTTCTTAATTGTTCTTTCCAATCTTGTTCAATACTTCTAAAATGAACATGACTTTGAACTTAAAAGATAGTATTATTTTTGAGAAATGGAAGATCACGTGGCTCCAGATAGAGCCCAGAGGAGAAGGCCCCCTGCCCGAGGGCAGGAAGTGAGGAAGCACAGATGGAGGCTGACCCAGATGGGTGGTCAGACAGAGAGCGTGGAGCTGAGACCTCTTGCGGACATTGGGCTGACGGCAGAGATGGCTGAGGAAGGAGGAGACTGTGGTTTGGTGCTTGAACTTCTGGGTTCTTTGGGTGGGTATCGCATCACCCTGAGAGATGCCCTAAGAGATGGGGAAGAAAAGAGTAGGCTGGAGGTGGCGGGAGGGCTAGGGGGGAGCTTGTTTGTGGGCAAGATGGTCCCGTTCCTCAGCAGTCAGAAAACACGTGGTGACAATCTTCCGATGTTTTATTGTGACCTGTGTTCTTGACAAAAGGATATTCCAAGAGACATATCACAGTTTATTCAGAAAATTTGCAATTGCTGCTGCATTATTTAAGGCTGTTTTTCGTCCTTAAGCTCTGTCAAGTTGTCATTCTTTCTTGTGAAGGAAGGAGAATGGCATGGGAAGGGAGACAGAAAAGGGGACCTGCAGACACTCACACCCGGCTCAGCCCCTGACTTCACATCCGTCACGGGGGCCCAGGGCTCATCCTATAGAGCAATCCCTTTCCTTAACCTCCCCTGCTGGCTCGGGGGTAAAGAACCCGCCTGCCAGTGCAGGAGACACAGATTCGATCCTTGGGTTGGGAAGATCCCCTGCAGAAGGGAATGGCAACTCCAGTATTTCTTTGTAGGAAAACCCATGGACAGAGTAACCTGGTGGGTACAGTCCACAGGGTCACAAAACTCACAAATAGAGACAGATAGACCTTAGCGACTAAACTATACCAACAATCTCTCATGAGCACAGGTCCCTACAGCACTCCTGGAAGGAGACACCCCATTTCATAGCCCCCAAGACTCAGGTCCAAGGGGCAGGGCTGCAGGGAGACCCGGTCTTCAGATTCCTGTCTGGTGTCTCCCCTGTGCCCACTTCACCAGCCGGGCCCTCCTGGGGCAGTGCAGGGAAGCTGGGGTCTCTGAAGCTGCATCGTGCAAAGTCTGCAAACTCGTGTTGTTGCAGAGTCTGAACTTTAAATTGGATAGGGACTGTGAGGTCCCCGAAGGCAGGGAGCAGGAGAGATGTCTACGGGGCAGGGGACCAGGAGGCTGGGCCTCAGGGGCCCAAGGCCTCGATCCTGGCCCACCCCAGCACAGCATGTCTGCTGGGAATGTACTCAGCACTGCCTCACTCTGCTCTCCCCAGCCTTGGGTTACCACACCTGTCATCTGCTCAGCCACCTGCCGATACCCAGGTCACTGGGCCAACAGGTAGGAGGCAAGGAGAATCCATCTAGCATGTTAACTAGTCTCCTGAAATCTTTTTAATCATACAGAAATCAGAATACCTGCTTGGAGAAGGGAACAAAGTGATCCTGTAATATCCACTACCACTTAACTGAATACTTACCCTGTGCAAACCTCAGTACTAAGACCTTTCACTGAATCCTCAAAATTGCCCCACAAGGAAATACTATTCTTATCCCTACAGGTAAGGAGGCTGAGACTGAGAAAGCCTTTAGCAAGTGGCAGGTCTCAGACCTGGGCTTGGCGGTCTGACTCCAAAGCCCACCCTCACCAGCTCTGCCATCACAGTGTGGAGTGATGCAGGAATCCAGATGCGGGAACTTCTGGGTCATTCTAACAGGAACTTCTTCTTGTGCTCCTCAGCTTCCTTTTACAATCATGTCTGAAGCTTAAAATAAGAATGAAATGGTTCAAACTAGATTTACCAGCCAATGAAACTGATATGATATTAACCTGGGTTGGAAGTTGCTAGAAAGATGAGGGAATGTTTCAGGGATGGTACAGAGTATAATAAACCACATATTGAATAATTCCATTTCACACAAGGAGAAACTCAACGAAGGTCATGGAGCAGAATAGGAACAAAGGCAAGAATCAAATCTGGACCCCTCACTCCCAGTCTAGGGCTCCTTCCAGGGCATCACCTTGCCTCTCAGGAGGGCTAAAAGTGGGGAGAGAATTAGACAGTGATTCTCTGTAAACCTGACTTTCCAGGACATGATGGAATGAAAGACCTGTCAGACAGATGCTGGAGTGTTTTCTTGAGTCTACTGCAAAACACCATTGCAGCAAAATGCTCCGCAGCGTGTCTGGTCCTCCTCCTCTGGGCATTTGTAGGATGACACAGGGCAGCGGGCTGTGGATAGATGGGACACATCTCACTTCTGATTCGGAGCAGTGACCTGCTGGTGTGAGATGCTCTGCTGGGTTCTTCCCCAGCTGTGAGAACTGGTGACGTCCCAGATGGTGGAGCCAGGGTCTCTAAGGATAACAACCTGGAACAGAGCTTCCTGAAAAGCTGCAGTGGATATGAAGGGTGAGAACTAAACCTCTGTCCTGGTAAGCCGCTAAAATCATGAGGTTGTGTGTTACTGCAGCAAGGCTCTGCTCATCTTTCTTTTTCCACTGTAAGATCTTTTTCACTTGAAACTTTAAGTTTTCTATTTTGTCTTGGGATATCGCTGATGAAGAATATTGAGGTAGCTTCAGGTGAGCAGGGAAGGGACTCAGTCATTCAGAGGCAAGGATACATTCTCCCCCTACCCCTCCCCACCATCCAGGCTGGCATGTAACATGGGTAGAGCTCCATGTGTTGTGCAATATGTCCTCGGTGGTTATCCATTTTGAATGTAGCCAGAACTCAGCTCGTCTTGGTGGACCAAGGGAACTACAGCTGCTGTCTGTGGGGCCAGCCTCAGCCCATGTTGCAGTCCCAGCTGTCAGTAACCTGGCAACATGGTGTTTTCCAGACACAGTCTTATTTCTTTGGGGTCACAAGCCTACAGCTTCATGGGCTGTTCCTGATTCCCATGAATGTGTTCTGATCTCACTCTTAAATTGCAAGGAAAACACCCCTGTCTCCTCATTTAGCTCTTCAGAGAGACCAGTTGTCCCTGCATGGAGGAGAGGCACCCCAGAGCCCTGGTCCTTGTAATCACATCCTATTTGTGCACATGGGGGAAGAAGGAGGGTGATCTCAAGGTCAGACATCTGGGATCAGGATTTTAGCAGAAGAAAAGCGCTGGATCTTAAACAGCAGCTCCTGGGTGGGGCACTGGAGAGGCTGGGGGTAAACTGGACACAGCCCTGTGATTTCCATGGCTCACAGTCTCCTGGGCGAGAGGGAACGAACACACAACAAAGCATGCTAACGACTGTGTGAGCACCATGGTGTCAGGATGTCAGTGCTGTGGAGACATCTCAGAAGGCAGCCCCAGGGAGGAGCTGGGTGTGAGCGGAGCCTGGCAGGATGAGTGCAGAGAGAAAGGGACTCCAGCCTGAGGAAAGCAGGAGAAGAGGGAGGGGACAGGAGCTGTGGGGTTTCTCCACCAGCGGGGACTGGTCTGCTGAGGCGGGGAGGCATGCCCGAAGGTACAGAAGGTGAGGCGGGGCTGGGGGGAGGCTGATGACAAAGCCGTCCGATGTCCATGCCATTCCCACCTGGTCTCTCTGATGGAGACAAGGGTGGGGACAGAGATGCAGAGTTAGGTGGTTTCCTACCTTTTACTTGCCTGAAAACACTCCCACTCCTGTGTCCAGTGCCAGAATTGGAGGTTATCAGGACTCTTGGACATAGCCAAAGGCCTTATATTTGAATCTGAAAAGAAGCTGTGGACTTAATCCAGCCACATGAAGTCATAACCTAGGAGAGACCTGCTCTTTTAACTTCTGCTTTCCAGACCTCAAGTTTTCCTCTGTCTTTACATTCCAGACTCAAAGAGAATCTAGGTGTTTCTAAAGCCAAGTGAGAGGAAGGAATAGGCCAAGGTCACCAAGAGACAAGGGGATGACTGTAAACACCGTGAGGGAAGAAGGCACATAAGCCTCTGCTGTGTTGCCAGCATCAGTACATAGTAGGTGCTCAGTAATAATATCTTGGATGTGTGAATGAATAAGCCATCACACTCAGGCAGTTATTTACCTTTTTGCCAAACTTCAGCAAGAGAATCCCTACCTTAAAGTGTTTACGTGGGTAACATTCACGGTCAGTGACGGACCCAGATTAATCAGCTACCCGCTATGATCCAGAAACTTCCCTAACAGTATCACCCTGCTTTGGGCTGGAGGCAGTAAAACCAGCCCAAGCTCTGGGGAGAGAGGGAGCCCGACAGATGCTGCAGGTCTGGGCTGGGAGGGAGCCCGACAGATGCTGCAGGTCTGGGCTGGGAGGGAGCCCTGACAGATGCTGCAGGTGTGGGCTGGGAGGGAGCCCTGACAGATGCTGCAGGTCCTGGCTGGGAGGGGGCCCTGACAGATGCTGCAGGTCCTGGCTGGGAGGGGGCCCTGACAGATGCTGCAGGTCCTGGCTGGGAGGGGGCCCTGACAGATGCTGCAGGTCTGGGCTGGGAGGGAGCCCTGACAGGTGCTGCAGGTCCTGGCTGGGAGGGAGCCCCAACAGATGCTGCAGGTCCTGGCTGGGAGGGAGCCCTGACAGATGCTGCAGGTCCTGGCTGGGAGGGGTTCCTGACAGATGCTGCTGGTCTGGGCTGGGAGGGAGCCCCGACAGATGCTGCAGGTCTGGGCTGGGAGGGAGCCCTCACAGATGCTGCAGGTCTGGGCTGGGAGGGAGCCCTCACAGATGCTGCAGGTCCTGGCTGGGAGGGGTTCCTGACAGATGCTGCTGGTCTGGGCTGGGAGGGAGCCCCGACAGATGCTGCAGGTCTGGGCTGGGAGGGAGCCCTGACAGATGCTGAAGGTCCTGGCTGGGAGGGGTTCCTGACAGATGCTGCTGGTCTGGGCTGGGAGGGAGCCCTGACAGATGCTGCAGGTCCGGGCTGGGAGGGAGCCCCGACAGATGCTGCAGGTCTGGGCTGGGAAGAGGGGAGCTCGGATCCAGCAGGTGCCATGGTTGAAGGCACAGTCTCTGACCTGGAGCCTTGCCGCTAGGTCATTGTACTTTTTTATGTGAGTCTCATCTGGACTACAGAGAATCCCCACGTTTCAAAAGGAAATTGAGTCCCACAGGCCAAGAGACTTGGTCAATATCGCACAGCTCCACTTAGTTATGAAGCTGTTCTGCAGTGCTGGGTTTTGAGTTGACTGTCTGTTGATTGACTGGCCTTGGAAGCATTCGCAGGATGAGGTGGCTGGAGGAAGTAGACAGTTTGCTCTCAGGTGTAACAGAGGAGACAGGCGTGCAGCACAAGAAGAGGAAGGATGGCCAAGAGCTGTGGGAGGAAGGAGGGAGCAGGTAACTGCGCAGGGGGCAGGCGGGCGAGGAGGACAGATGAGCTGGCTCTGCAGAGGAAAGAAGCATCTCCCTACTGGGGAAGAGGGGGATGACAAGCCTTCAGAAGGGAACTTCTTGGGAAAGTTGTAACTCTGGGGAAATACATGGTTTATTCAGGAAGAGTAAGCTTACCGGCTGATATGAATGATAGGTGCAAATCCACAGGAAGAATGAAGGGAGGGAACCATTACTGAAGGACAGAGTGGACTCTAGTGTTGTCATAGGACATTGGCTAACGTCAGTCTAGTCGTGAAGAGATGGAGGGAGGGGTAATTCGATCTTCTGACAAGTTAACTTTCATTGTCAGCTCCTATTTATCCCTAAGAGCAGGGGGTCGCTTGGGCCACAAGACAGCTTTCCATGTAACACTTGACCCTTGTCTCCCTCCAGACACTGGCATTTGCCAAGGGGCTGAGACCAGCTCAGAAGAGACATGGAGGCCCCTGGGCAAATATTGTGGCCATTTCCCACCCTCTCTTGATAGAGCGGGTCAGTGACCCAGGACACCTCTGCCAGATTAGAACCTGCCTCTCCCTCCTGTGTAATATTATTGGCAATATCATTTATCCTAAAAAGCTCTACACAGGCCAAGAGGAGACTCAATTGGCTTTTATGACCGGAGTTAAATGTTGTCACCAGTGGCTCTATTGGGATAAGTATGTTCTTGTATATTCTTTTAAAAAGCAATTCATGGTCTCTGCTCTTAAATAGAGACACCGGAATAAGGCTTGTGTAGCTTCTGCAATAGAAATGTTCAACCTTTATGCCCAAAGGAATGAGGTGACCATCACATCACCCACCTGCCTTCCCAAGCTCAACCCACTTAATTAGAGAAAGAGGAATAGCACTGGTTACAATTGTGGCATCTTTTTGTCCACCTGGTTTTCTTTCTGCTATAGCCCACCACCTAAACACCCTGCACAGGGTAGGAACTCAGCAAATCCTCAGTAAGTGAATGAATCTGAAACCAATGGGCATCATTCAGCCACATGAAGTCATAACCTAGAAAATGTGCTTCCTCTTAATAGCCAAGAACACTGTAGATTGAAAAGGAGCTCGAGAAACATGAATTTATTCTCTTGTCTCCCATAGGCCAGCCGGGGGAGAAGAGAGAAGGGCCTAGGAGATCAGAATGGACCCCATCTCCTGAAAGTTACACCAGAACTACAGAACTGAGGGGGCTGGCTTGCAGACCTGAAGTCACCTCTCTCATTGTACCCACGGTGAAACTGAGCTCCAGGAACAGGGCTGACCCGCCCCAGGCCACACATCCACGCTGCTTGGCTCCCAGGCCCACTGGTGCTTTATCCAACACCTTCGTGGTGCAGGTGGGAAAAGAGGGAGAATGAGATGGATGCAGACTGAGATGAAAGGGGCGAACCAGACGGTCGTGACAGAGTTTGTCCTGCTGGGGCTTCACGACCACCACGACCTAGAGATGGTCCTGTTAGTGCTCTGCCTGGGCACCTACTCCATGAACGTGCTGGGGAACGCCCTCCTCATCGGGCTGAACATGCTGGACCCCCCCTGCACACCCCCATGTGCTTCTTCCTCAGCAGCCTCGCCCTCGTGGACATCTCTGGCACATCCTCCTTCGTGCCTCTCATGCTGGTCCACTTCCTGGGAACCCAGAGCACCATCTCCTTCCCTGGCTGTGCCCTGCAGATGTACCTGACCCTGGCGCTGGGCTCCACGGAGTGCGTGCTCCTGGCCATGATGGCGTGTGACCGGTACGTGGCCATCTGCCAGCCACTTCGCTACTCAGAGCTCATGAGCTGGCAGATGTGCATGTGGATGGCAGCGGGGACCTGGGGGGCAGGCTTTGCCAACTCCCTTCTCCAATCCAATCTCACCTGGAGCCTCCCCTTCTGTGGCCACAATGTCATCAACCACTTCTTCTGTGAGATCTTGGCAGTGCTGAAACTAGCCTGTGGGGACATCTCTCTCAATGCACTGCTAATAATGGCGGCTTCAGCTGTCCTGACGCTGGCCCCACTGCTGCTCATCTTCCTGTCCTACGTGTTCATCCTCACTGCCATCCTGAGGGTGCCCTCTGTTGCTGGCCGGCACAAAGCCTTCTCTACCTGCTCTGCCCACCTCACAGTGGTGGTGATTTTCTATGGGACCATCTCCTTCATGTACTTCAAGCCCAGAGCCAAGGACCTCAACCTGGATAAGCTTCCTGCATTGTTCTACGGGGTCGTGAGCCCCTCACTGAACCCCATCATCTACAGCCTGAGGAACGCAGAGGTGAAAGCTGCTGCCATAGCTCTGCTGAGGGGAGATCTCCTCTCCAGGAAGATGTCCCGCTTTCCGGTTGTTCTCTAAGTCCGTCAGGCGGGACAGGCTTGTTACACTGTGGTCATGACTTCAAAATTTCAGTGGCTTAAAACCACAAAGGTTTTTCTTCTCGCTTACACTGCAGGTCCTCAGAGGTTGTTTGGGGCATCTACCTTATCTTCTTCATCCTTTGGCCCTCAGGGTGATAAAGTGACTTCCACATTACTGATAAAAATGGCAAAAAGGAAGGGAAAAATGACAAAGCCTGTGAGGATTCTTAAAGCTTCCACTCAGAAGTGAGGTGTTAACTTTCTCTTCCACCACATAGGCTAATGCAAGGCATAGGCCAGGGAGGATGACAAGGGAAGGGGATGACCCTCACCCCACACATCTGGAAGGAGGGGAAAGACTGAGGAATTCCTGCACGGGCTGGTGAGGACCCCAAACCTTACAGTTCACCCAGGAGCTACTAGAGATTTCTAGAGCTTCCATTTTCTGATCGGTTGTCCCTCACTGGCTGCTGTCAAGTTACTCACCCCAGAGAGTGCTGGTAAGCAGGCGTGCGGAGGTTCCGGACTGGGGTGTTCCAACTAGGTCGGATCCAGGCCTCACAGAGCTCTCTTTGCTCTCAGGTTCTGGCTCAGGTTGAGCACGACAGAGTCTGGAGGAGACGGGAAGGCCGAGGCAAGGCAGCGCTGAGGCGGCGGAGCCTCACCCGCTGTCACTGCAGCCCCCGGGCTCCTGCCAGGCCACCTGCACCTGCTCCGAGCCCCAAGTGAGGGGCCCTCCAATGCAGAGAGTGCCAGCTCCTCCCGCAGGTCACCAGTGTCAGTGAGTCCACGGCGGTGAAGGCCAGACATGGGTTCCGTGTGTCCCCGTGGTGCTGGCCTGTCCTCACCTCCCCCTTCACCCACCGCGAGCAGCTTCAGTCCCGACACCAGGTGCAGAGGCCAAGCCCGGCTCAGGCTTCTCCTGCAGCTCCCACGGACGGCAGCCCTGCTCTCCACGGCGAAGCCTTACATCACTCCCACTGGTCCTGCTCCTTTGGCCAGACCCTGGCTGATTCACCACTCCAGAATTTATGTTTGCTCCCCATTATCAGAGCAGGAAGCCCAAATTCTTCAGCTGAGCCCTCAGAACTCGAAAACCGGGCTCTCTTTCTCAGCCCGACATCCCACTCACCTCTGCACGCAGTCAACCCCTCGGTCGTGTCTGTGTCGCATCTTGGTTTGTTGCTCATCTGTTCTCTGGTGAGACCTGGGACTTTGTTGTCAAGGCAGCTTAGACCCCGTCTCTCCCACACAGGCTTTCCTGGCCCTTTAAAGCGGTTCTCTCCTTTGCGTCCCACTGCACTTAGTTGGAACCTTTCCCACGGTATATATCCCTGTCTCCTTTGCATCCATGATATTTCACAACAATGTGGGCGCTTCGAGGACAGGACTCTGTGGGGGGCCTGCCTCCTCAGCTCACACAGAGCTTTCCGAGAGAGGGTCACTGAGCTGACTGTCACTCAGAGCCGTCCGCTGTCACATCTGGGACTGGATCCTGTGCTGGTCCAGGCAGTCAGGGGCTTAGTCTGAACGCGGGGACAGACATGAGTGGGGAGCAGCAGGATCTCTTGGCCACGGCCCTGCCTTTCAGGAAGTCACTGAAGCAAGTGAGGAGACAGCAAAGGACCCCCATTTGTGGAGCCAGGAGACCCGGGTCCCAGACCTGGTTCAGCTGCTCTGCCCGGCAAGGTCTTCCTGCTGGCCCTTCCCCTCCTCAAAGGCACCTCACACTTAAACTGCCCACGGCTGAACTCACCCCTTGTCCCCAAAGGTCTGTCACCCTCTCGGGGAACAGCACCCACACTCCCTAAGTCCCCAGCCAGAAACCAGGCAATCATCACAGGCGTCCTCTCACCCTCACCGCCCCACACAGCCAGTCGGTCACCACGGCCCAGAGCATCCCCCTCACAGCAGCTCCTGGTCTGTCGTCTCCTTCCTCTGATGCCTCCTCTCTCTCTCAGATAGTGTGACAGCTATGCCAGACTCTAAAATCCATCCTCTGCACTAACTTAAAGAAAAACCCTGTCTGAAAAAAAGAAAACAAAAAACCACACCAATCTGATCATGATACTCATCTGCTTAAACCCCTCCAATGACACCATTGCTCATCTCTCTGAGGATAAAAGCCAGATCCCATCCTCCTGCCCAACCTCATCACTGGCTGCTTATCTCCACCCCACTCCACCCACAGACACCTTCCAGACCCAGTTCCCCGTGAGTATCAGTCTTTCCCGCCCCTCTGCCTCCCCCTTGCTGTTGCCTCTCATTTTCAAACACCTCTGGATCGTTAGCTAACATACATTGGACACTTATTACACACCAGGCCAGGCACTATACTAGAATTTTGAGAGCTTTACCAGCGGGGGATCAGATGGGGTGATGAAATGTCAGGGGACGTATGGGATATGGACACTTCTGACCAGAGAGGACACCCTCTCCACATCTCAGCATTATACAAAACCCTTGGGACTTGGCTGTAACCTTTGTGGAAAGATAAGTATATCCAAAATGACAAAAGATTATGTTTCTGGCACTGGGGCAAAATGGGGGCTGAAAAAGGATTTACAGTCTTGTGATACTTCTTGCACATCTGAGATTCGTACCAGCTCATCCCATCTCCTGAGCCCTCAGCTTCCCTCCCTGTTGAGTGCGGGCACCACAGAGGAGGTCTGTCTCACTGACTTGTATCATCTCATCACGTACACACACACACTCACAACTCTGTCCCCCAAGCTGCCGCAGCCTGACACAACAGAGCAACAGCCTGCGGCAGCTGCTCCAGCCGCTCACGTCACGCCAGCTGGGCTGCCTCACCCGTGCCCATCTCCTCAGGGTCCACCTTCCCCTCCTCTTCCCCACACCCTCGCCCGCAGGAAGAAGGGCAGCACGGAACCAGGAAATTCTTCATTGGAGACACACCAGACTCCACTGTATCACGTCAGGATCCAGCGCCCCCAGCCCAGCCCCCGCCCTGTCGGTCCTGCACCCCCTCGCAGGGCCGCACAGCCCGGAAGCTGCCCCCGGGAAGGAAGCCAAGGCCAGGGAGGCTAAGCGGCCGGGAGACGTGGGGACTCAGCTTCCCCCAGACGGACTCCATCTCCTTAGGGACAAGGCTGTGTCCTGCCAGGGCTCTGTCTCCACGTCCTCAGCGGGTTCCACACCCTGGGCAGGACCCTCGGTCCTGAGGGGGCTCGGGGGCCCTGCACAGGCTGCAGTCCTGAAGATGCTGGAGGCCTCCCGGCCCTCAGGAAGTTGCCAGGTCTCTGGAAGAGTTCCATGTCCTTAAGACAGACTCCATGTCCTCAAGAAACACAACTTGTCTCTTAGCCCTGAGCGGACTCCATGCTCCCAGGAGGAACCCCAGGAAGGGCTGTGTGCCCTGAGGAAAGGTTCCAGTTCTCCCAGGGCCGGTCCGAAGCCCCTCTCAGCTGGCACAGATGCTGCTGACAGTGGCCCCTCCCGGGCCCACAAGGCCCAGCTCCTCCTGCTCATTGATGCACAGCTGGTAGCCGCAGCCCCGGGCCCGGGCTCCAGAGGGGACCCGGCGGTCAGTCTTGGCACGAGGGGGCAGCAGGAAGCCCACACTGCCGGCGATGAGCATGTGCCAGATGCTGTGAATGTAGAAGTAGTTGTCTCGGGTCTCCACGAAAGCATACAGCAGGATGGCACCGCCCGCGATGAGGCTGCCCGGGCAGAGGCAGAACAGCCAGCGGCGCCACGTGGGCGGGTAGCAGTGCCGGCGGCGGACGCTGCGCACTGTCTGGGGGAGGCAGAGAAGGGGGGCTCGGGGACGACTCTGGAGCCCAGGCCAGAGCCGGTCGCTCTCAGGTGTCCCCTGAGCCCTGGTGGTGACCCTCAGAGTCTGCCGAGACTGGAGTTCGGCCCTGAGAGCAGCACAGTGATGACAAGGTCCGAGCCCACCTTAAACTGGAAAGCAGGTACCCAAGTACCTGTCCCCAAGTGCTGCTGGGACCTCCCCTCCCCCAGCCCTCCCAGCCTTACCCAGGCCGTGGCCAAGATCCCCAGAGCAAAGAGACTCGGTCCAAGCAGGTTCCAGAGTCCATGCCGGTCAAGCTGCAGAGCCATGGACAGCAGCATCGCCCCCAGCAAGTATAGCACCTAGAGAAAGAGGTCTCCGGGGGCTGGGCCAGGGTGGTGAGGGTGCTTGGCCGTGCCCCCGGGAGAGGTCGGGAGGCGAATTTAAAGTAGATTTGGGCCACGGTTGCCCCCCCGGGCCCTCTGCAGACTGACCTGCTTGGCCACAGGCTGTAGGCGGGCCATGGCGATGACAGTGACCCACACGGACATTAACGAGCCCAGGAAGTCACAGAACTGCAGCACATCGTAGTCCATGATGCAGAACACCACAGTGCCGGGCTGGTCACAGGCGTGGTAGAACTGCAGGAGGGAGGACAAGCGCTGAGAGCGCCCAGGGCGGAGCGCCAGCCCACGAGGCTGGAGAAGCAGGCCGCGGGCTGGGGCGCGCTCGTCGGAAGAGCAGACGGACAGCGTCCCCGCCGAGCAGCACTGGGAAGTGCCCGGCTCCCCAGCCCTGAGAGTGCGGGAGAGAGGCCCAGTCCCTGTTCCACGCCGCATGTACCTGGCAGCCCTGAGCCTCGGCCTCACCCTCCTAATCTTCCTGCTTCCGAATGTCCTGTGAGAGCACCAGGCCTGGGGTGGGGGCGGGTAATCCTCAGCCTGACCCAGGCTCTGGGGCTAGACTCTGACCTCTTGGCCAATCCAAACCCCAAGCCTCATTTGATAGCTCAGACTCTTGAGTTATGTTGCACCTTCAGATCTCGGACTAACTGGTCCTCTGCATCCCTCCCCACCCAATAACATGGAGGAGGAGGCAGTAATAAAAAGGGCAGGCTCTAAAGCCGTGGAGAAGAGCATGGCACTTTACACTGTGGGGAAGGGACAGCGTGCACCTACCCGACACTGTGGAAACACAGCAGAGAATACAGTACTGAGGAGTTTGAGAGGGGAGCGTTCTGGGGACACAAGTAGAACTGGAATAAGCTCTCTAATATTCTATGACTGATCTATGACTGATTCAAGTATACTAAAAAGTCAAAGAGACTGTTTAATTTGCAGAAAACCCAGAGGGCTAGAGTTAAATTAAAGCTTCAGGGTGAGGTGAACAACATGATCTACATTTCACCAGGCCACTGTCACCTCTCAATGTCCAAAATGCCATCAGTAAAGTCCATCACTGACTCCATCATGCAGCGCAATTTGTTAGAAGAACAAGCCAATAACTTGTGGCAGCTCACTTCATTAAAACTCCTCAACCTGGAGAAGACAGCATCTTGTCATCATATATTCTAGGCATATATCTGTCTCTTCTACCTGCAGTGCTTCAGCCTGTTTTGTTATTCATGGAGCAGAATCCATTATCGATTGCCATGGCACCCATTCATTGCCATCTCTAACCAGGAGACACAATTTATAGTAGATAAGGTTAAGCAAACTTCACTGGTGTAACCATTTACCCATCACCTAGAAGCAACTGGCTGTACCAAATATTGGAATGAGCTACAACATTCAAAAAACTAAGATTATAGCATTGGTCCCATCACTTCATGGCAAATATATGGGGAAACAATGGAAACTGTGACAGACTTTATTTTCTTGGGCTCCAAAATCACTGCAGATGGTGACTGCAGCCATGAAATTAAAAGATGTTTGCTCCTTGGAAGAAAAGCTGTGGCCAATCTAGACAGCATATTAAAAAGCAGAGACATTACTTTGCCAACAAAGGTCCATCTAGTCAAAGCTATGGTTTTCCAGTAGTCATGTATGGATGTAAGAGTTGGCCATAAAGACAGTTGAGTCCTGAAGAATTGATGCTTTTGAACTGTGGTGTTGGAAAAGACTCTTGAGAGTCCCTTGGACAGAAGGAGATCAAACCAGTCAACCCTAAAGATCAGTCCTGAATATTCGTGGGAAGGACTGATGCTGAAGCTGAACTGCCAATAGCCTGGCCACCTGATGCAAAGAACTGACTCATTGGAAAAGACCCTGATGCTGGGAAAGATTGAAGGCAGGAGGAGAAGGGGACGACAGAGGATGAGATGGTTGGATGGCATCACTCTCTCAATGGACATGAGTTTGAGCAAGCTCCGGGAGTTGGTGATGGACAGGGAGGCCTGGTGTGCTGCAGTCCATGGGATCACAATGAGTTGGACACGACTGAGCGACTGAACTGAACTGAAGACTGGGTTATGTATGGTGGCATCAGGGAGAGACTACCCTGAAAGTCTGGAATATTCTCCTATATGTTTGGCGCACAGTATGTGCTCAATAAATGTTAGTCATCTTATACTTTATATCATGTATATTCATGGGATAATACCCCCACACTAACAGACTCTCCCCTATGCAAAAAAATATATATATTTATATAGCACTACTGTTGTCTCACAGAACATTGTGGACTAATATTTAGGTTAGTATTCCTTTTGCATTACCAATAAAAAGGAGTGGTAGAAATAACACAGAAAGACTGGGAGATTTAAGAAAACAAATTCAGACTACAAACTGGCTTCCATTAGTATAATCTAATTTGACATCTTCCTCAATTTTGGCCATTTCTTTACTTATAAGGTAATTTTGGAAAATTATCCTAAATTGTTCTTTTCTGTGGAATTTTATATTTTTATAACATAACTATATAGCTCATCTAATGCTCCAAATAGAGTATCCTGGCACTACAGAATTTTAAATTGGAGATGCAAATATATTCAATCTGTATGAAGACTGGAATATTTGTATTCAGGATAGACTGAAACTTACTGCTGTTCTCTTATTTTCTGCTTCTGTTTCCTCTTGGAAACATCATGGCATTTTGCCAAGGGCCACTGAGAATGACTGTGCTGGTGTGAGGAATAGAAGAGGGGGTGGAATAATGAGGAGGCGGGCTTTCAGCCAGGATCTCAGTCATCAGCAAGGAAGGCTGCCGGGGCCCCAGAATGCCAGCTCTGTCTGGGTCTTACGGGATCCAGTTATGAGGTCTCTAGCACTGGAAAGGACACGTGGCTTGGGCTGTATAAGTGAGAGATGTACAACCTCCATGTCTAATACATTTTCCCTGTCCTTTCTAATACGTGGCTTGGTTATAATTTCTGACCTTTTGGCTGGCTCTCCTTCAATAAGAACTACTAACCTGAGGTCATTAGTATCTCCACATACTCCTGGACTTCTGAGAAGCTAAATTCAGGCTGAGAATGTACGCACGCATGCTCATTGCCTGGGGCAAGGAGAGCCCTACAGCTCAGTGATGACATGAGAGGGACCAGAAGACAGGCTGAGCGACAAGTCCGGTTCCGCCGCTCAGCTCAGGCCTTAACCAGAGCATTTAAACTTTCCTCATCTGCAAAAAAGGGAGGATAATAATAATAGCAATGCTTCTCCATTGTTACAGTGCTATGGGAAGGATTCGATGAGCAGTGTCTGACACACAGCATGTATCAGCAGATGCGGTTTTTCTGTTATCGTTATCTGAACTATCAGCTACATACAAAATCAAGTGCTGGGTTTGTAGGCTGTTTTTGTTGGTTTTTTTTTTTTAACACATTTACATTTTTAATTAAACTCCTGGATAACAAAGCTACTGTCTGCTTCCAGGCCCTGGACAGGAATCAACACACTACTCCCAGGTGTAGACTGTCCTGGATTTAAAGACAGGAGAAGACTGCCGCCTCTGGTGCTGGTGCCGACACCTGCAGTAGGACCTTCCACGGAAACTGCTGAGAAGTGAATGAAGTCTACGCTAAATACAGAACAGGAAAGAGGGACAATAAGGATCCCGCCTGGGAAAACAGCATCACAAGTAGCTCTACACTTTGGCACAAATGGGCAAAGAACAGGACTCTAGGCAACCCCTCAGAGCCAGTATCTTCTCCGTGATCATTTGCCTACTGCCTTATTTACAAAGTGGAGGCACTGTACGTGGGACCAGGCACTTTTGGCTCTGACAGTGTTTCTTCTGGGGCAAGGTCTTTTCTCTTCAGGATGATATGCCACCAAACCCAGATGAGGAGGAGTCATCTGGAGCCAATTTTCAGGATGCCTTGTGAAGTGCAGGAGACTGGATAAACTCTCCTCACATGCTCTAGGCTCCTGACTCACTCAGATGTTCTTACTACTTGTGAACCACATTATATCTGCACACAACTAAGAATATACTGGTGAAACTGCTGTTGCTAGAGGATTTGGTGAGCAACAGTATAAAGGGCATCTGGCAATAAAAAAAGAGAGAGGAGAATACTGAAAATAAAAGTATAATGGAGCATTGTCAGAATAGGCCTAAGGGGGGGCATTCAGACAAAACTGGGGTGTACTGTTCTCACACAGCTTAAGGGGCCAAGGTCTCACTGCATGGCACAGTTACAACCACTGTTCCTCAACTGTGGAGAAGTATCCAGGACCTTAGAACGTGACCCCCTCAGTCCCCACCTCCTCTTAAGATGACAGGTAGAATTCTTGTGATTTGGACAGAGGTCTGATCTATTAATCTCTAGAGAAGGGAATGGCAATCCACTCCAGTATTCTTGCCTGGAGAATTCCATGGACAGAGAAGCCCGGCAGGCTACAGTCCATGGGTCGCAAAGAATCAGACAAGACTGAGTGATTAACACACTGATCTATTAATACTGGACAACAGGGAGGCATGTACTGGTTTCTGTGATATCCTTGTTCCTAAGAAACGTGGAAGTCTGAATCCATCTAAGACGTTTGCAGTGCTCATAGGCAGGCACTGACATCACAAGATGCCAAGAGCACACGGCTGAGGTGAACAGATCCCGAGATGTAAGCACCTCAGGGCAACTGTGTAGACACAATTCCATATTGTAGGTCAGAGCTTCTTGGCCAGCGTGTTGAGGTAAAGGTCCCCTCAGCCCTTAGAGTGGGCAGGTAGGGTGCGGAAAGCTGAAGACCCCATGCTGCCTGCAGTGGCTGTTATCTTAAGTCGCAAACAGCCTTGTTCATTTATTCCCATGTGTCTTCTAAAAATTATTGTGTTCTATGCATGCCATGATAGGAAGCGGTGGGGAAGCCCTGCTGTAAAGAACAGTGAAGAGAGACACTCCAAACCCAGGGAGGCCCATGGTGGAAACAGACCCTCACCCACCACCACCGCTAAGGACTCGGTGCAGACATGAACGGCACCGCATACCGTGGAGAAGAACATGGTGAAGGTGTAGACAGCCGCTTCCAGCACATATCGGCTCCGAATGGCCAGGACCACGGGTGGCAAAAACATGAGGTTGCTCAGGCAGAGCAGAAGTGTGGACAGCAGCTGGAACCCGTAGGTGAGCGCGTCTGCACTGTCCGTGCAGCCCCAGCCCCGCCACCCTGCAATGGCACGGGGTCAGAAGGGGTCAGAAGGCAGCCCAGGGTTCAGCAGACACTCCTGCTGGCCCTTCTGCTCAGGCCCTACGTCACTGCCAGGGAAGGGTACCCTGACCCCGCACCACCTTCTCCAAACCCTGCTACACACACAGGTTGCCACCTCCCTCCCCCGAGCCCTAGGTGGGCTCCTCGCCAGCCCAGCCTGCTCACCGGCCTTGCACTCGCAGGCCGCGTACAGGTAGTTGTGCGTGCGCAGCAGCTTGCACTGGCCGTAGGGCCCGCAGTCATCTACGCACGGGGACAGGAAAGTTCGCAGCCGCACCTCCGCGGTCGCGTTTCGGCATCGCACGAACCTGCGCAGAAACTCGCGGTCACCTGGCGCTCAGGCGCATCCTTCCCGCCCCGCTCACCGAGGCCCCGCCCCGCTCACCGAGGCCCCGCCCCGCACAAGGAGCGCAAGGTCAGGAACCAGGTCCCTGTCTGCGGAAACGGGATTCTCAGCCTGGCCACTCTGGAGGCGGCACTGACCGTGAGGAGGAAGCCGGCCAGGGACCCTGAGGGGAGAAGGGAGAAGCCAGTGTGGGGTCAGGGCCTGAAGAACCCTCACCCGCCGGCCCCCAGTTCCCAGACGCCCTAGCCCATCTGTCCTCCATACCCTACCCCTGCCCCGGTCTTCCAGCCCCTCTTCTTCCCCAGTTCCTCACCCTACCTTTGGCACAGGTCACTGCGGCATCCCCCAGGCTCAAGGGCACCTCATGAGTCAGGCATCCAAACACTGTCACATTTTCCTGGCGCAGGGAGCTCTGGGCAGGCAGATAGAAACATGAGGCTGTCACATCCTCCAGGCCTTCCCACCACCACCCCCAGGTTCCTCCACCTCTTAACCCTTCCCTAGAAACTCCTCCAGGCCCTCACCTAACACCCCTGGTCCTCACACCCACCCCCTTCATTCTTACAACCAAAAAGCGGGGAAACACCATCACCAGATCTTCCATAGCAGAGATCTTTCAAAGACTCATGAGAAGCCAAGGCCACTTCTAAACCCTTTCTTTGGGCAGAATTGTTTAAATTCTGTCTAGGCAAAAGACAACACCCACTTTTTCAGTCCTACCTAGCTTTTTTGGGGGGTGGGGGGAGAGGAAGAGCACTGTTGCTGGATGTAGAAACTAGCTGTAAAAAAAAGGTCTGCAATTGTATGGCTCATCAATCATCATCACATCTTCACATAAACCTGAAAGCAGGAGGTGTGTAAAGATATGCACGCTTCCTCAGGTGAAATGATTCTAGGTACTAGTGGTAAGAGAACACCTGTAGGATTAAATGTAGCAACCTGGCTGGGATTAAAAGAAACTGGATATCCACAGGACTAAATGAAAAGGGCTGTGTACAAGAATAAAGGTAACAGGATTCCATAAGCTCACATCATTCAAGAAGGATTTGGGGCAGCTTATTAAATACAAATAACAGGACAGAATAAATGCATGAGGGAAATATATACATCAGGAGAGGAAAAGAAAGTCTGTACCTAGATGTGGGCCATATATTTGATGCTGACTTTCAAGCAACCAAAGCAAGGAAATGTGAGTTACCACATTTGTGAGTCCATGCGATAAGTTAATCAGGGTCTTGGGAGAAGCACTGCACCCAAAGGGATGATTCTCAGTTAAATTCATATCAAAGAATCACTGTGTGCTGCCCTGTCTCCAATGCTTAGCTGCAAGTGTGAATTTCATACAACTTGCTCCTAACTTCCCTCAATGCAAGCCCAGAACAACATGCCAAAGTTTTATTCAGCAAAAGCCACTCTGGTGGGAACCAGAAAATGTCCTCTAGGTATGCAGTTCTCTGTTCCAAATGTCTAGTTCTTGATGCAAGGGAAAACAGCAAAATGCTTGGAGGGAAAGATCAGAGTAGGTGTGCCAATATACCTCTCAGAATAAATAGAACAGGTGCTCTGAGGTATGTAGCAGTATCATAGCAGGCAGATGATAGAATGTAAGCAGACGCCCGTTAGAGAAAATAAACAAGAATGCAGAGAGTGACAGCGCAAGACAATAGGGGAGGCAGGCCTCTCCTTTCCAGATACGAGGAAGAGAATGGGTGAGGCTGGGCTCTGACACAGGCTCTACAGTTTCAAGGTCAAATCGAGGCTTCACCGTCACTGCCCGAAGGCAGGGAATAAGCCAACACAAAACGCATACAGTCAGCGAGAGCGAGAGTGCCATCGGAGAAAACTGAGTATGAAAACAAGCCCTGTCCGGGGCTGAAGAATCAGCTCTGTCCTACCCAGCAGGGCCACTAGGACGTTCTGAGCCGTGTCCCACAAGCTACCACCGCAGGTCACAGACCAGCTACCAGGTAAATAATTAGATCAGTGCCAACCCAAGACAGTTGCCAAAGGCCTGAAAGGGCTCTGCTTTCAGCCCAGTCCTGTTCAGTGCTGAAAATGACGACTAAGAGGTTTAGAAGTGTGCGAATTACACAAAGTAGTGAAGACCCACAGTTCAAACCAATGTTAGGCAATGCCTCAAAGATGAACATAAATTCTTCCACTCAGGTTAAAAAGTGCACTGCAAAAATACAAGCTAGGAATTGGCAGCTGGTCACATGAACCATGCTCAGAGCATGAAAATGTGCGTGGTCCTTGGTCACAACTAGATACACACATCAGTTACTGTGGATAAGGACTAGGGCATATAACCAAAAAGCTAAGCAGTTGTGTTACGGGGGGTATCTTCCTCTATTTTCCAAAGCTTTTATATGTGATCCTATCATTTTTATAATAAAAAAGCAAATGTATGTAATTGTTTTGAAGCAAAAAAAGGAAGTAAAGAAAAACAATCCAGAGGTCTCAGTCTACCACAAGCCTCAGGTGAGGCAGCAGCTCAAAGAGGTACCTTGATCTCAGGCTGCACAAACGCTGCCTGCCACCCAGGTCAGACCACCTGGGATCACTTGTTTCAGAGGCATGATGACCAGAAGTATGACCAGAGGAGACAGCAGAGGAAGAGAAGTTTCAGATGTGGAGGTTGTTCAGCTTTGGCAAGGTTGAGAGGCATCTGAAAGACTGGTTAGGGATGCAGCAAATGTACCACACTAATATAAAATCTGAGTAATAGGGGGAAACTGCATGGGGAAAGAGGGGGACTCGATTTACTTTCCTCAATTTTCCTGTAAGCCTAAAACTACTCTGAAAAATAAAGTCTATTAATTTTTTTTATAAAAGGACAGGAGTAGACTACTGGATATAGCTTCTAGGACAAAATAAAGATCAGTGGGTAAAAATCCACGAGACAAATTTTGATGGAATGCCAAGAATGCCTCTAGCAATCAGAGCTGTCTAAACATGGACTGCATGGCCTCAATAGGTGGTAAGCTCCCAAAAGATACGTGAGAAACAATGAACACGTGCCAGAGAGAGGCCTTTAGTGAGCGGCAGGTGAGCCTATAAAACTGGGGAAATCTGGACCCCTCTGAGCTGCCCTGGCTGACCCAGCCCGTTTGCAGTAAATGCTCGGAGCACATTTGTTGACCAGAAGTGGGCTGAGGCATGGTCTCTAAACCATAAACTGGAAGCAACCTGGACGGGCTTCCTGGAGGAAGTCAGGGCCCCTTCACCCCTGACACCTTCTCCTTCAGGTCCCCCCACAGGGCGACCTCCCTGCCCTCCACAAAGAGTACCGCGTTGAGCTGGAGCTCCAGGCTGAGCACACCGCCGCTGTCCAGCAGTGGCAGCAGCCTCAGGGCAAACACGGCCGGGCGCTCGGGCGGGAGGGCCACGCTGGGGCCGAAGAAGATGTAGAAGTGGACAGAGAAGGTGTCCAGCTCATTGCGCAGTGTCGGGCGGACCGGCCAGCAGTGCTCGGGCGGGGAGGTGGCCCCAGGCCCCTCGGCAGGGGCCCCGAGGGACGGTGGCTCTGGGGGCAGCGGCTGGTTGCCCAGTGACTGGGGCATGTTCATGGCAGCTCCAGGGACCAGGGCACGGGACAGGCTGGGCTGCGGGCACTCTGTGGGGCAGAGAAAATCAGAGCTGTGGCCTGCTGCCCTCCCAGTCCTGCAGCCCCAGCACACACGGGATCTGAGCCACACACGGTTTAAGAGAGGGTGGGGAGGGAGAGAACTCGAATCAAACATCCCTGTGTAGTTTGGCATCTAAGGTCACAGGACTGGGTCCAGGCACTTCCTAGCGGTCACAGCTAGTGGAATGTCATGTTGGAGGGGCTGAAGGTCACCTCTCCCTCCCCAGTGGCAGTGAGGGCACTGCTGAAGCAGAGGATGGACCCTCTCACTGACCTGCGAGGGCTCTAGCAAGAACCATGTCCCAAAGGTCCTAGCTGTCCCTGCCTGCCCCATTACACTGGGAGGTTAGATCAAGGAGAGCAAGTCCCCTCGTAAGCCTAAGTTAGGTACCAGAAGTGACCTGAAGGCCTTCCCGTGACTTGAAGCTCCACGTGGGAGGGCTTTGGGGAATAAGGGAGCCAGGTGGTGTCAGGGAGGTCACAGGGACATGGCCGAGAGCCAGTGAGCACAGCCCTCACGCCCGCCTCTTCCAGCCACAGATGCCAGCACAGGCCAGCTGGCTGGGGCAGGCGCGGGGCTTCTGACCTTGCAGCCACACGCACAGCTGGAAGCGGACGGTCCTGCCGGGGCCCCGGGATGGTGTCTCCACGCGCACGTAGACCCAGTGCCCCCAGGGGGGCAGTGCCAGCTCCAGCTGGCATACCGAGGCTCCTCCACAGGCCACGGAGCTTGAGTTGTGCAGGGGTGGGGCCTTGGGACGTAGGCGCAGGGTCAGGGGGCAGGCGGATGCCCCACGGCCCCCCACACACACCAGCTGTGCTGAAACCCTGTAAGTGAAGCTGGGCACGAAGACCCTGGGCAGAGGGGAGGGTGGACATGAGAAGAGACAGGGTACATAGAGGTGAGAGGGGAACACTGGGAAGAATGGAGGGGCGGGGGGACAGAGGAGAACAGGAGACCTTTTCTGGTCTTCCCCTCCATGCTAGAAGAGAGGGAGGCAGGGGTCAGACCCACCCTGGAGTTCTGGGTGGCCCAGCAATCCAGGCTGGCCAAGGGGAGCGCAGGACCAGCAGGCAGCTGAGGCCAGGGAGGGAAGACGGGAAGGGCCCGGGTTGGGGGAGCACTCGACTTACTTGTACAGGGCTGAGCGATTGTGGACGGAGAGGGTCTGCTCGGAGGGTCTCCCAGGCACCAGCACGGCCACGTCCAGCAGACGCCGGACAATCAGCTGCGGCTGGAGGAGGTACTGACACTCATCCTGGAGGCCCTGAGGCACAAGCAGGGGTGGCGGGAGGGGAGAGACAGCAATGCGCTACTAAAGCAAGGCTCAAGGCCTGCGGAGGCGGGACAGACCTCCTCTGGCCCTCCTGCTTCTGGGGCTGTGACTGCGGTCTCTCTAAGCTCTGGGTCCTTCCTCGGTCTGCAGGGTCTGCTGTGATCCTCAGCATTGGCTGAGAATTGGGGTTTTGAGGGCCTCAAACCCCACTGAGGTTTGGGGGCTCAAATCCAAGCCCCTCCTGAGAAGCCCCGCCTGCTCCTCCTCCAGTAAAACCCCTCCTGCACACCCCTGGACAGCCCAATAAGGTCATTTCAAACCAGCCCATTCCCCTACCAAGCCCAGAGGAACCAGCAAGCACTCTTTGGGCACTAGCATGCCCCCCAGTAAAGTTCCTTAAAGGCCTCCAGTCCAAACCGCCCCACTTCCCCCATCTGAATCTCTCATTTCCTTTATTTTCCACCTGCCCTTCCCAAGTATTACCTGTCCAGCCTCTGCTTTAATACTCCCAGGGAAGGGTCACCCTACCTCCCCAGGCAAACTCCAGACAGACACAAAGCCTAATGTAAAGTGCACACCTCACAAATGAATGTTTGCTGAATAAATGAGTCAACCCAGCTGGGGCAGCTGTGACCTTTCTGAAGCCAAAGCCTATCTTCTGTCTCCCCATATTGCTCTGCCTCAGGGTCCCCGGATACATCCGCTTCTTGTGTCTAAGCCTGGGTTCCTTCTGTCACTGGAGGAGAACCACCACGTCTCCCCGAGCTGCTCTTCTGGATAAAATCTTGGGGGACACCACCCGGGCCCAGGCAGCCGCAGCATCTCCGGTGAGGACGGGCTCGTTAGTTCCAGTATTTGCACATCTCTGGGCCCTCAGTCCCAGCAGTTCAGGGGAGCAGGGTGGTGGGGTCGGGGGGGGGCCTTACTAGGTTTCTCTCATCTTCTGGACAAATGGCCTTACACTAGCCCAATAAACTAGAAGCCACTGTTCACTTTTGTGGTTCTTCAGACCAAGACAAACCATTAGCCTTGACCTGGGACAAGGATTCCAGGCTCTGACATCCCACTGAGTCCCTTGCCATGGAGCAAGTCAGCCAAGGCTTGTTTGCTGACTTGTAGCGAAGCTCCAGGAGGCTGGAAGGGGGCCAGGATGGTTGCCAGGCCGGAACAGCTTCCTACCCTGTGCCTGGAATTTTCCTGTGCCTTTTTTATCACTGCATTCCCAACACCTATCACACCACCTGGCATGTACTAGGTGCTAGAAAATAGCTGCTGAGTTAAAGAACAAGTGTCAGAAGAGGCCCCTTCAGAAAGCTCCTGACCCACCTTGTTGCGCAGAAACCTCCATCTCTGATACACAAAGCAGATGGCCCTCATCTTTGGTGAGGAGCAGAAGTACTCTCATGAGTCATTTCACTGACCCCACTTCCTAAGGGAGGAATCACCACCATAATAATCCGGTGGTTAATGCCCCTGAGCGTGGGGACTCGCCCTCAGGAGAGAGCCCCCGTCCTTACTAGACGGTCCAGAAGGAGGAAACACCTTGTTCCACGTCTTGCTTGCTGTTGGCCTAACAAAGGATGAGTGGACATGACCTCTTTGGTTAAGAGGTCCTTCTTCCTGAAACTGTATCATGTGCATGTCCAACACCTCCCTTATTGTGGATGCAAGTGTTCAATCAGCGGAGACCAGGGAAGGCGTACGAACCTTCACCCTGACACAGAACCACAGAAAGGGCACCGGAAGTCAAGTCTCAGGAGCTGCCAAGGCAGAAGTCAAGTGAGAGCATCCAAACTGAGTGAACAGCAGCAGTCATGGGAGGAACCGGGCCAGAGCGAGGCAGCTTGAGAATCCAGGAGGGCCCAGAGTGGGAAGTGGAGTGAGAAGTGACCTGAAAGAAGCTGGCATGGAAGGCCTTCAGTTGATTCCTAAACTGTACGGGTGGGCTAAGTTTCTACAGAAGCGCCTGAGCCTCTGGGTGAGGCTTGCAGGCGGAAGATGCCCAAAGATCTTGGTCTCTGTGGCCATCTCTGTGGGAATATTCCAGCATTCAGGACAGCTGCAGCCCACATTAAGCTGGCACCAATCAACATGGAAGTAAACGAGCGCTGGACAGATGGCAGGGGGCAGGAGTGGAAGCAAAGAGGCCACTCAGGAGGTGACTGTGACGGCCGCAGACGGCTGAGGGAAGGTGCTGAGAGCGGACAGAGAAGTAGATGTATCCGGGCATGCATTAGAAAGAGAGTCTCAAGACTTTCTTTATTGATTAGTTGTGTGGAAATAAGGGGAAAAGAAGAATCAAGTATGACCCCTAAATGTGGGGCTTTGAGCAACTGGGGACTGGCTGTGCCATTTACTGAGAAGATTAGAGAATGCAGAGGCTTAGACTTGGGAGACGGGAATTAGGAATTAAAGAGATTCCTGATTTCAGGCTTTGTTTGGATATGTACTTGTTAAATTCGAGACAGGTCTTAGACGTCGGAGATGTCAAGTAAGCCACCCGGTGTAAAATCTGAGATTCAAATAACTTAGGGCTCACTTAAAACTCTTGGAAGACATGAACTTATAGGTGATATTTAAAACTACTGTGCTGGAGACATCTAGTAAGAGAATGGAGAAATAAAAAGGAGTTATCCCGGGACCAAGCTTTTGGTACCACAACACAAACAGATCAAACAGAGGAGAAGCCAGGAAAGGAGACAGAGGAGGGGGTGGTGGGCAGGAAGAAAACCAGGACGGTTCTATAAAGTCACAAAGGGCAAGAGGAGAAAATATTTCAAGAGGAAAGAGGTATTAGGTAACAGCTAGTTACTAGTTAACTCTGGAGAGAGAACATGGGGACCGAAAGGGGATGAAGGGAAGAAGAAGACTTACTTTTCACTGTATGTCTTTTGTACCTTTTGAATGTTGTACCAGGTGCATATATTACCTATTTGAAATACAAATAAAATAATTTAGAAGGAGGAGGAAGCGCAGAAGGAAGACGGTTAGCAGATCTGAACCTCTTCAGTTGAGATGCTGAGTGAGCCACGCTTAAGTCTGAGCTGGTGGAGTCAACTGAATCTGCTCCTTTTCTTTCCTTATGGTTGTTTTTATTATTTGATCTGCTTTCATTTGCTTTCAAATCTTGGAGCTGGGAAGAGGAAGCATACAAGAGCTGTGCCCCATGTATTTGGAGAACTTCTCCTAATAAGGCGTTTGGGTGTCAGATGTTACCCAAACCCAAGGGCCAGTCTTTCAGGAAGACTGGCAGCTGGACACCACAGGATGAACACATGCTCCAACACAAGACAGGCAAGGAGATGGAAGGCAGAGGTTAAGACAGAAGAGGTTGACGGAAAGAAGGAGAAATGATAACCGGTTTCAGAAACATGAGTTTGAGAAGATGGCAGAAGGGCAACAAAAATTTGCCAAGCCCCTACTATGTGCCACGCTCTGTGCTGGGTGCTAGGAACACAGTAACACAGTAACAAAGTAAAAATAACACACACAAAGGCCCAAAGAAGTGTGGGACCAGAGCCCAGGAGAGTGGCCTGGACCACATAAGTCACCTCCCTTCTACAACATGTTAAGGCTCCCTATCGCTCTCAGGATAAAGCTCTAGCTTCTAGACCCTTGCTGATCTGGCCCCTGTTCACCACCCCAGCTCCCTCCCTCACCCTCACACTGAACCACTTCAGTTCTCCCTTCTCACCTGCAGCCCATGCTACTCCCAGCACCTGGAATGACCTGCTTTCTCAACGTCAGATCTCACTTCCTAACAGTTTCTTAAAACCTAAAACCATCTCTCCACCACACCACCCAGCTGAGTTATAAACTTCTCCTTTGTCCTCTTAAAATGCCTTCCATTAAAAAAAAAAAGCTTTCCATATCTCACTAATATACATCTTATTTGTGTCCCTAGCACCCAACCCAAGGCCAGGGATAAAGCCGGTGCACAAAGACTAAGGTCTACAGGGAGCCCATCCCCAAAGCTGAGGAACACTGCTGCCTTCTTATTGCTGACACCCTTCAGTGCCCACCCAAGGGTATTCCTGAAACCACATAATCTCCTGGGGTTGCCAAGCCTCATGGGAAGTCAGGACCACGGGACAAGGAGGAGGCAAAGCGAGAAGTTGGAGCTCTGGAGGAATGCCCTGGACAACCCTCCAATAGGCTTGCTTCTAGAGAATTAACCAGAGAACTTAAGAATCCTTATAGGCCCAGGACTTCCCTGGTGGTCCAGTGGATAAGAATCCACCTGCCAATGCAGGGGACATGGGTTCAGTCTGGTCCCAGAAGATTCCACATGCCTCAGAGCAACTCATCCTGTGCACAGCTCCTGAGCCCAAGAGCCGCAACTGCCGAAGCCTGTGCTCTGCAACAGGATAAGCCACCGCAACAAGAGGGGCCCAGGCCCAGCGACAGAGTGCGGCCTCCGCTCACCGCAACTTGAGAAAGCCCGTGAGCAGCAGCCAAGACCCAGCACAACCAAAATGAAGAAAAATGTTTTTAAAGTACACTTTTAAAAAAAGAATCCTACAGGCCCAAGTGAGATTCCAAAAGATAATCCAATTTTTAGAGGAAACATAAAAAAGGTCCTAGCCCCGCCTCCCCCAGCCTCTAACACAGGGCTGACTGGAGAGCTCCATCTGTCATGGGGTCCACTCACAGCTGCCACTCCCAGGCAAGGTGTGACCGTGCCCTCTTCTCTCAAATCACCGCACCCAGAGATCTGTCCTGGCTAGGACTCCAGCTTGCAGTACCAAGTTCCTCAGGCCCCACTGGCTGTATCTAGAGGCGCATGGGCACATCAGGCCTGGTTCTGACCTCGCCTAACCAGGCTTCAGCTCCCACTATCGCGGCCCAGGCTGAGGCGCCAAAGTTCCTCTGGTTTAATCAGAAAGGCTGTTGGGTGACTACAGCATGGCTCCCGGAGGATTTTCTCTTCTCACGGAGAGAGTCCAGGATCACAGCTGGGATCACAAACAGGCTCTCTGGGATTTGGCCAAAGACCTAAAAAGATATTCCTCCTAATATAAGAGTACTTGGATCTGACAGGGGTCCAGAACTTAGAGCCCAAAGCCACTTCTGGGCAAGTTCCCAGCATGTTCTCACCCAGACGGCTGCCAGGCCTGGAAAGGAAGTTCTCCTGTCCTTCACTGTCTGGAAAACCTATCACTTGAGGGCCTGAGACACTCCCTCAGACTGAGTTCCCATCTCTGGCAACAACAGGGCCAGCACACTTGTCCCTGGTAATTCTCAGCTCATTCAAAAGCACTCTAACACCTCTGAATGCCGGGCCTCAGTGGGAGGGGAAGGGGAGTCTGACACAGTCCAGAGTGCCTGTCCTCAAGGAACTCACCCTGGAGACAGCCATCTGGTCAAACCCTCTCCTGACCGGGGGTTTCCACTCCTCCCCGTCCTCAGAGGCCACACTCCACTCCCTGTCTTCTTCTGTGTCCGGTTCTTTAAATCCCGCCCCGCTCACGCTGGCGCACGGTCCCCTGCCGTTACCGCGGGCGCCACACACCTGGCCATCCCACTCCGACATGGCCACTGTGTCCCAACCTCCCTCCCTGCTAACAGACAGGAATAAGAAATCCTCTCCCTGTGATGAAGAGGGCCAGCCTGCCCAGTATCTGAGAGTGGCAGGAAAACCCAGCAGCATTTCCTTCCCTTCAAACGAGAACAGAGAAGAGACCTGACCTTGACCCCACAATACTGCAGACTTTAAGAAGCTCTGATCTATGCAGTCACTGATATTTGGGGGAAAGGAGGGTAACAGTCAGGTTGGACACCAGCTGCCCAAAGCCTCCTCTTAACAGGAAAGGGCTTGCCTACCACAGAGTGTTCTCTTACCCTCTTGCATAAGGTGTAGGGACTGAAATTATGATAGAAGAGGAACACGTACTCCCAGAGGGCCTAATGACTGGGCTGCAGCCTCCAAGACTCTGCAGGGCTATCACCAACCAACACGTACGTAGAACAAGACTAGCCTTGGGTTTGTGCCGCAGCATCTGACCAGTCCCTGGCTGGCTTCTGACCACCGTGATTAACCCTACATCTTCCAATAGGAAGGGACACCACACCCCGGTACCAGGCTTCTGGCGGCAGGCTCTGGACTTTCCCTCTAGCTTACCTGGCCCCATGGTGTCTCCTAAGGCTCCCGAAGTGCCTCCTGCAGATCATGACCTCTGGCCCACCAGGTGACCTGCTGACCTCTAGCTGTGCCCCAGCCCAGCCACCCTGAGGCTATTTTCCACCCTGGCACAAGGCTGGAGTGCCAAGCAGCCCAGAGATGGAGAAGCAGCTCTGGCCCCTCCTGCCCTGGACAGCATCAACCCACCTTGACAGAGATGTGGCCATGGGCCTGGGGAAGGTGGGCAGCCAAGAACCAGTCCCCAGGTAAGGGGCTGCTGACGTTAAAGATGCCGGAGGTGCGATTGGGCAGTGTCCAGCTGAGAGTCAGTGAGAAAACCCCAGGCACAGCTGTGTCCCCTGGGAAGTGTGTGTGCAGGGGATTGATGACAGGGGGTGCCCCAGACCGGAAATACCTGGGGGACCAGAATGAAGAGAAAGGGAAAGCAGGCAATGGGGTGGGAGATGGGAAATGGGAAAAAGAAAGAAATGTCACTCATCTCCAGTAAAACAAATGGATTCCCTCTACTGACCCACACAATAAAATGGTTCCAGGTCAGGGGTCAGACATAAGCAGAAAAAGATCAGCTTGGGCACTCATGTAGTCATACAGAACTCAGGAATGGTCAGGAGACAGAGGTCTTGGCCTTCAGCCAGTCACACTTCAATCTGGACAAAGGCCAGGGGTCAGGAGGGCAGCTTAGATACTTATAAGGTCTCATTTCAGCATGGAGAGTGGCCTGGGGTTGGCACAGGGTCAGGAGGTTAACTCAGACACTCACACGGTCACACTCTGGTCTGGACAGTGGTCGCCAAAGGTCCCTCCCTGCTCTTTGAAGATGATGAGATTCCACACGGCCAGGAACGTGTCTTCAGGCACATGGAAGTGGAAGAGCTCGGTGCTGGCAAAGGAGCGGAAGGGACTCAGCTTGCGGGGTGAGCAGGTGGAGTAGTCGGTCAGGAAGAGGCCTCCTGGGGAGCAGATGGTAGAGAAAGGAGCAAAGTAGGACAGGCCATTCCCAGCCACCCCCCAGGCCCACCCGGCTGCACTCCCCAAGGCACCCACTCAAGGGTCTTGTGCTGCCCTTCCCATCATCTGCTTTAACCCTTACACTGACCTTGGGGGAAGTGACCTCTCTTTACAGGTAAGGAAACTGAAGCTTAAACCTAGATCAAACTGAGGACTCCAACTTTGATCTGTCTCAATCCAAAACCAGAACCGTTTTTACAATCCCCATTGTTGCCCCTCACTTAGAAGCCATTGCTCTCCTCTTACCAAGCCTAACAAAGCAGGTGTGGATGGTGGGCATGAGTCAGTGCGTTATGCACATGCGTGTGCGTGCACACAGTGACGTGGGTTCCCGGGCTACTGAGCAGCCTGGAACTCCACCTGTGGGCTTGGGAGTCAGCATGGAACTGTGAAACTTCCTTCTTTATTTTCTTCCCCTTTCTGTTCCCCTGTGGTCAGAAGCAATAAAAACTCTCAGAAGCTTCACAAGAGCTGTCTGTACACTGGCTCAGGGTGGCAGTGGGGAGGGGAAAGTGTGGTGAGGCTGCAAGGGGCCTGCTTGGGTGGCAGAGGCAAGGACAGGAGCTGGCAGGCCACACAAGAGCCCCTGCAGAGGAGTAAAGGAGAGGACCACAGGGCCTCCGGGATTCAGAAGGTGGGGCTGGGGGGCTTCCCGGCAGGAGGCCCAGGGAGGCAGTCAAGTGGTGAGACAATGGAAGCTCAAACTGCTTGGGAATATTCATATCCAGCGAAGTCAGGGGCTGGAGGTGGGGAGGATGTGGTGCTCATAGCTGAAATGCCTAGATACCTGATCGTGGCCGTTAGAAGCAGAGTGCAACAGGTGAGCAGGACAGTCTGGTATAAGCAACTGCCAGGCAAACACACAGGCACCAGGGCTGCTATAACAATGAAAAGAACCCAGTGGTTCAGCTGGATAGAAAAGGGTCCAAAAGGACAAAAAGGGCCCCAAAGGACAAAAAGTTCTGGGGAATCCGACTGCTCTGCAGACTGAACACCAGCCCCAGCGAAGCACAGAAGGATACCCTCAGGACAGATGAGAAGGTCGGGGACTTTAGCAGCTTCAGAGCAAGAGTAAGGGCAGCGGGTAAGGGAGACCCTGAAGTGGATTTTTTAGCCATGGAGGAAATACCCATGGGCCTTGCCTATGCTGACGGTCTCTCCCTCTGGAGATGGGAGATATAACTCCAAAATGAGGCATGTGAAATAACAGAGAAAGAAGCATCGGGAAAGGGAGGCTGCTGATGGAGGGAGCACAGGTCAAGGTTGGCCCTACTGAATTTCAACAACCTCAAGTCACCCTGCAGAGAGCCGTCCTCTGTAGGTGGAGGTCACTGGCCCTAGATGGGCCTGTGATCTTCAAAAGTCGCAGTCACACCCAAGGCTTGTCTGTGCAGTTCAGATCACATAATCGCTCTCACCTGTCAGCAAGAAAGACCTGCCACCTTGCAAGCTGAGCACTGCCCAGGAACCGAAGAGGCTCATAGAGCAGCAGTGATGTATTCAAAAGGGATGAAGGGAAATGAAACAAGTGATGGGGAAGAAAGGTTTCCTAGGAGCCCGGCAGTGACAATGGTGAGGCAGAAAGCCAAGAGCTGAACAGCCTGGATACTATTATTACAGGAGAGCGGAGTACTGAGCGCCCCCTGCTGGAATTAGGAAAGGGCTCCTCCTTCTCCTTCTGCAGGCTGGTACCATGGATGGGTCATTGGACGGGCCATTGCCAATGTTAGAAAAAATGGTGGCCAGGCGCCCCCAGGGCAGGTTCTCAGAGAGTTGATGGTGAAAGTAGCTAGTGACCTTTAGGAAATAATGGACAGATATGCACAATGAGCCCTGTGGTTAAAGGAACAATGGCATGGCCTGCAAAACTGGGAACTAGTTAAGCCACCCACAAGTGGCTAGGGCCTACAGAGGTCATAGAGAAGGCTGGTGGGAAAGGGGAGTAAAAAGAAGCTGGGGATGCTAGGAGGAAATGAGAAGTTCTGAGGGCAGATGTTTGAGAAAGCACCTAGAGCCCTGTTGACTGCAGACTTTGGTTTGGGGTGTCACTAGGCCTACAGCTCTGTGACCCAGAGGAAGCAGGAGGAAGGCCCTCACCAAGCTCAGATGAACCTGTCCTGGATGCACCAGCGCTTCCAAATGAGGCTAGGGTGATTTTCCATCACCATCTGAAACACACACACACACACACCTGTGGGCTCAGGCTGGCCCTGCTAGTGACAGCACTCAGTAGAACAAAAAGGTCATTTCCTGTAATGGCAAGGCGTGCCTGGGTTATGCAACTGCAGTCAGACAAGTCCAGGGAAAAGATCCGAGGGTGTGCTGAGACTGAGTGCCATCACAGGCCGCTCTCTCCTCAGGGAGACCCTCCCCGCACCAGGTCACAGAGCACCCCTGCAGGCCAGTGACCACTAACTGTACTCAGGGTGGCCCTGCCTGCGGTGCAGCCCAGTCAGTGCTCTTTTTCAGCCCCATTACCATCCTCCCGAAGCACTTGAACTGCTTCTGGGCAATCATGTTTTAATCCACATCTTTCAACTTTCTATAGCTCTGTGACTGATAATCACCTTCCTCTCCTAATGGGCTCACGAACAAAGAACCTGGGGTTCTTGAAACCCATGAAACTATGAACTGGGCTCAACAAAGTGGACTCCCCCTCACCCAAACTGAAAAACTGACCTGGCTTCTGTCTCGGCTGAGTGCCCGCTCTGCCAGCAGCAGTAATCAACACTGAGCAGCTACCAGCCCTGAGCCCTTCAAGGAACCTGGCTGGGGGCAGATGGATCACTTATATATATTGTGGGAGGCACTCAACACCGCCTCCGACCAAGGAGCTATCCACTTGGGGGTGACCCTTCGGTGATATGTCTGCAGGAGGAGCAAGAAGAGCTGAAGAGGAACATGCATGGGCCACAACACATACCTCCTCCTCACACAGTAATACAGACACCAGGACACACAGGCTCACACCACACAACAAACATATGCCTGTGCTTACCAGCACACAAGCATGTATACACTACACACGCCCAGCATTCCCACAGACCCTTCAGGTACACATACAGACACATTAGCACCCAGACACCCGTGAGAATCCACGCAGAGCTCGCACCTCTGTGGGAGCAGTGACCTTTGGCGTGCATCCGTCTCCTCGAGATTATACTCTGAATGCAGCCCGCTACCTCCAGCTGCTCTGCTAGCTGCTTTTGCCAAAGATTCCTCAGGCATCTCCGCATCCCCTCTAGAGTGCTACCCACCAGAGACGGCTGGGGGCTGGGGCCACGAAGAGTCTTTATTACGGGGCCATCTTTATGGAACATGTTCTACGGCCAGGACCCCTTCCTCCACCCGCCTTCCACCCATTAGGAAGTTGGTTATCTCCCTCTCCTGTCCCACTCACCTCCTCACTAGATGGTGGCCCTGGGCAGACTACTGGCAAATGAGGGAAGTTTGTGGATGAAGCCCCCTTGTGGGCAGATGGGAGAGGACACGTTGTGCTTGCAGCCTTTCTGCACTAGGATCTGTTTTCCTATTGGGCATAGATTACAGTAAAAAACAACAACACTAGGGTAGGGTAGGAATCAGGAAGCCTTTTTCTAGCCCCACACTGTCGCTGACAACATGTATGACCTCGGGCCAACTGATCCCTTGCTGTGCCTCAGTTTCCCCATCTGTAAAATAGTCTCCAAGTTTCAACCCTGCTCTGAAAGTGTCAGAAATAATTCCTTAGCAAATCAAGCTTATTTGGAACAAATTGCACTACAAGAAGAAAACTCATTATAATGGCAACTAACCCATGGCCATCTGTTTGCTACATGTTATTTTCAAAACTGCTTTCTTAACCCCGCTTCAATGTATGCCCAGTACGTCAAAGGTTTAGGCCAGATCTTCCCACACTTGACTAGAAGTTCTCTGGTGGGGGACTCTCACCCCCATCAAACTTCACAAGCAGGTACAAAGCACTCCAGACTTCCTTGGAAAAGAGTCAAAGTGGAGTCCAGATAGACCCCCAGAAAGAAAACCTTGCAGTCTCTGTCAGCCACCTGCTGAGCCTCAAGCCCACAGCTACCACTCTTCTGACCCTGTCAATTCCTCTCAGTTATGTAAGCCTTCTCTCCTCCTCCCTATTTCTCTCTGCTTCTTCCCCAGCCATCTAGTTGCCAACATCCCACCTCTCCTGAATCCCTCCAGCCCACCCCTCCCTGCCAGAACCCCATCCCTGCCTCATTCTCTCCTGCGCTGCACTCACCAGCCCCTGGGCCAAGGACAGACAACAGCAACAGCAGCAGTAAGGCTGACGGCAGCTGGAGCCCAGACCTGAGTCGAGGCTGGTAGAGGGGCGGGGTATGAGAGAGAGGGGTGGGCGGTGGGAGAGACTCGGGCAAACACAGAGATGAGGGCACCGACGGGGATAAAGAGTTGGGCTGGGCCGGACACAGGGACTTATGCAAGGGTACGGGGTGTGATGGACGGAGGGGCTGTGGTGGGGACTGGAACAAGGGCAGGCGTTGGGCCCCGGGCTTAAGCAAATTTTGAGAATGGGGTTGGCACAGGGGCCGGGCTGGGATTTGGGGAGAGAGGTGAAACAAGGGCTGGGACTGGGATGGGGCCCAGGTCAGGGGCTGGAGGGGGCGCCTGAGCTGGGACCCCGATCTGGGCATTCGCTGGGACCCAGGCGGGAACTGGAACCGATTTGGGAAGCGGGGCGAGGGCGGGGTCGGGGGCCAAGGCCCAGAACGGGATAGGACAAGGGGCCGGGACAAGGGCTGAGCCATGGCCCGGGGAGGGGGCGGGGCCGGACAGGCCAGCGCGGGCGCTCGCTGAGCTGACCCGCGGCTCCGCTCCCACCCCCCGGGGATGGCCTCCGGTGTCCTCGCGAGCCTAGGGCCGGAGTCGAGCCAGCTGGGGCCAGGCCGGGACTGGGTAGGAGTTCAGGCCTGGGCGACTCCGGGCTGCGCTGGACAGGAGATAACCAGGCCCCGCGGCTGCGGCCTCGGCCTGACGTTGCACGACGCTCCGCCCTCCGATTAGGTCGATTGGTCCTTCTCACTAAAGCCCGCCCCCGGCCCTATTCTATTGGTCTCCTACCTGGCCCCGCGGGGCTCGAGGACAGACTCCGCCCCAGTCCCCGCTGCCCGAGTCCCCGCCCCCCTCACCCCAACCACCGAGTCCAGACACCCCCATAATGTCCTCACAGCCTCACTGACATCTCATAGGAACCCTACAGAGACCTTCACAAACCCAGACACCCACGGACGTCCCCATAGATATCCGCAGACCGTACCCAGAGACTCTCAGAGTCTCACAAAGATCCCGCAAAAAACCACTCACAGAGATCCAGCAAAACCCCCTTAGCAGAAGGGAACCCTCTAGGTTTGTCTCCTCCGGATCAACGCAGCCCCCTTAGGAGACCTCACTCACCGAGGGGGTGACGAGACTGCTGTTGCCACGGAGACTACTAAACGTTCCGGTTGCCCTGGTGACGGATCCTCCACTCCCGGCCAGGGTTCCAGAGGCTTCAATTAAGCCTCTCCCTTATTCGGCCCTGGACCGCCTCGTCCCTTCCCCTCCCCCCCTCCTCCCGACCAGAACTCCTTCACGAATTTCTGCAGGTGTCCAAGTCCCTTCCCCAAGCTGTAACTTGCAGGCAAGGCCTCCGCATACAGTGCCTGCTGCCAGGACTAGTCCACAACCAAGCCTTCTCTCCCCCGGGGCAAACACTCCCCGTCCCGCTTCAGACAAGATCCTAACCTTAAGGACTTGTAAGACATAGCCTAGAGGTAGGTAGTCTCTCAAATGGCCCCTCCTCCAAATCCACATCCCACTCCCTCCTTACACCTTCCTGTCCCTTCCCACCTCACTCCAGCCCCCTCCCATCCTCAGAGTTTCATCTTTATCCTCTCCCTCCCCCACTTTTCTCCACTCAGTTCCCTCCTCCCCCTTTTTCCCTTGCGTCTCCTCCCATCCCGTGGTTCTTCACCCTCAGGCCCCCTTTCTCCTCTTGCTGAATGTCTGGCTATCTTCCTCTCCATCATCCTACTTCTCCCCCTACTTTCTGACACAAACTTCCTCTTTGGAAAGGCCTTAATGAGTTTAAGAAATGATACATGTAGTATTTGGGGAGCATAGACCAAAGTAGAGAGCAGGAGAAGGTAAGGCTGGAATTACCTTAGGCAGCACTGCAAATGATGACAGGCCTTGAATGTCAGGGCCAAGAAATTTGGACCTAACCCTTAGGCTGAGTCACTGGATTGTTTTTAGGCAAAGGAATGCCATTTCAGAAAGGTCTCACCTGGGTCATTAAGGAAGACTGACACCCTTCGGACCTGGGCTTCCCAGGTGGCACTAGTGGTAAAGAACCCACTTGCTGATACAGGTAGACGTAGGAGACGTGGGTTCGATCCCTGGGTTGGGGAGATCCCCTGGAGGAGGGCATGGCAACCCACTGCAGTATTCTTGTCTGAAGAATCCCATAGAAAGAGGAGCCTGGCAGTCTGTAGGGTCACACAGAGTCAGACATGACTGAAGTGACTTAGCATGCATGACCCCTTTTGGACATCCTTCCAAGATAAATTAGGCACACCCCAGTCCCCACAGCATCCTGGGCTTACCCCAGCACAACATCAACTCATTTGTATTGTCATTTTGGTTAACTGGTCTCCTTTCCAGATTCTTTCAGCTGAGTCCAGTGCCTGAGTAAAAGTGTTAATATTAGGCTCTTTAAAAGCACAAGTTACATAAACCAACAAAAGAATGGACGAGTGGATTAATATGCTAGGGAAGGCAGCAGAGGAGCAAGGGTATTACATAATCCAGGTAGAAAATAATGAGAATTTGAACCAAATTGGAGGGAGAGGAGAGGAGAGAATGGACTTGTGGGATATTTCAGTTCAGTTCAGTTCAGTCGCTCAGTCATGTCCAACTCTTTGCGACCCCATGAATCACAGCACGCCAGGCCTCCCTGTCTATCACCAACTCCCGGAGTTTACTCAAACTCATGCCATATTTAGAAGATAGGAAATGTAGTCTTTGGTGCCCATTCTAAGATGTGGGCTGAGAGGAAAGGAGAAGACCACGATAATTCCCAGAGTTCAGTTTTGATGACCTGTGGGACATCGATTTAGCAATGTCTAGCAGACAGTTGGGGTATGACTGTGAAGTTCAGGGTCTGAGCTGGAAATATGGATTTAGGGGTCATCAACATACAGCTGGAAGTAGCTGAAGCACTGAACATGAACGACATTACCAAGGGCAGGAAGGGGTCCTTAGACAAGACTAGACTGTGGTCATTGCATCCTTCTGCACTCTCGGGAGCAAACCCCCACTTTGCCTTGGTCTTCCCAGTCTCTAGAACTTCACAGCCTGACTTCTATGGTCCTAAATTACACCCAGAACCCTGCTCTTGGACTAGCCAAGATGCTATGTTCAGTATCCCTTCTCTGTTACCATCTACTGATGGGATTCTGACTGCTTCAGACTTTCAGTACGCAGTTTGGGTCTAGGCACATGGGTGAAACTCCAAGCACCAAGCCCTGGCCCATAGCTCATCTGGATTCCCCTGAGTCATATCTCAGGTGCACTAAAAACTTTTCCATAGCCCCCTGCGAGTCCTGACTCGGAGACCCTCTAATCCCGACCTAATGAAACATGTACTCTGTTCTACCACTAGATGGAAGCAGACAAGATCACAGAAGAGCCTCATACCGCCCTGGATGCAGAAGAGAGCCTTTCTTCGAAGGACCCCTGTCCTGAGGACACACAGGAGCCCCCCATCCCTGAGAGCCCCTTAGAGCCCACCCTCTCTGAAGCCCTGTTAGAGTCCCTTGCCTCTGAATCTCCTGAGTTGCCCTCCACTTCCCAGACCCCTTCAGACATCCACACCTCTGAAACCCCTGTAGAGCCTCCCACCTCCACCGCCCCTTTAGAACACTCTGCCTCTGAGGTCCCTTTGGAGACCCTTACCCCTGAGACCCACTTGGAAACCCACATCCCCAAGGTCCTAGATCAACCACTTGCTTTTCAGACTTCGTCACTAAGCCGTGCCCCTGGGTATCCCTCTGATAATCCAAAGGAAGATTTCTCTGAGTCTTCCTCCAGCGAGGGCTCATGGGTAAAGAGGCCCATCTACACCTCTGAATTCGAAGGCTCTCCAAAGCACACCCTTTCAGGCTCTCCATCCCAGGTCCACCTGGACACATTTACAAAAGTGAAGGAAGAGGAAGAAGAGGGCGAGAGAGAGATGGATGCCACTGCCAGTACCACTTATGCAGCTCAGCCTGTACACCAGCTGGGCAAGAAGAAGGGGAAGAAAGGAGTCAGCCGTAATTGCTCCTGCCCATTCCCCCTTTCTCAGCACCGTCTTTGACCTGCCTCAGGAGGAGGAGATTGGTTACTCTGTGACCTGGCCCCTTCTCTTAGGTTTGGGGCCTCCTCACTTCCCCTTAGTTACTCAGCCTTTCCCTCCCCAGGTTACACCATCCACCCAGTGGTCCCTGCTAAGCAGGCAGACCTGGTGGACGTGGCTAAGGCGATGCACAGAGAGAAGTTTGGTTCACAAGTGAATTATCTTTTCCAATGGGAGAAGGATGCAGCCCTGAATGCCATCCAAACAGGTGAGCCCAGGCAGCCTTTCAGGGGCCTGTGACAGGCCCATGGCCATCCCTCTATCCAGGGGGATCTAGGAACCTGCTCCTTCAGTGGAGAGCCCTTGTGGAAAATGGCAATGCCACCTTCCTGGAATCTGGGATGGGTAGGCCAAAGCAGATGAGGATGGATGCAGACAAAAAGTGAGGATATTCATATAAAGCCAGGCAGGAACAGGTGGCTGAACTAGGGCTCAAGTAGCCTGCACCAAACAGATCCTAAAGCAGAGATGGCCCAGGACCCTGGACAGTTTCCAGGTGACTTCTTGTTCTAACAAGGCAAAAGGCCTTAGTCCCCTTGGTGGAAATGTATTAAAAGGCTGTAATGGGGACTTCCCTGGCAGTCCAGTGGTTAAGACTCTGCACTTCCACTGCAGGGGGAGCAGGTTTGACCCCTGACACTGATATGCGGGAACAAGGATCCCGCCACATGGTACAGCTAAAAAATTTTTTAAGAAAAGGCTGTGATCCCTGCATGCCAGACCCATGATCACCTGGAAATCCAAAGCTCTGAGTCTCCTCACCAAAGAGAGCCATGTCTTCTAGCCCCATCAACTCCAAGTCTCAGCCCAGAAGTAGTATTGTAGATGGTCCTGTTAACGGCATGCCAGGCTTCTCTATGTCTGTATATAAAGGGTGTGCATATGAACCATGTGAACACACACCATTCTGTGTGTGAGCACGTGCATGTGTCACTGAACTTCACATCTATAGGTTTTGGGTAAGAAGGCCACCTGACCTGTTATGCGGATTCTTGGATTTCTAGACTGAATTCAATAGGTATCACTGCCTTTGGAGGAAGCGGGTTTATACTATATAGGGTTTATATTATATTCCCTAATGATGGGAATAGAGCTATGTTCTAACCATAAGAGATATTATCATGCAGATGAGACTGTGTGATCATGGAAATGAGTGTGTTGTGCAGTGAAAATGGCATCCCCGATAATGTCTCCTCCCCAGTCCTCGTCCACTTATAACAGAAAGAGGGTGTGGAATCAAGGCAGAGTAGAAGGCCCTACTCTGGAATGCACAGCCCACTTTGCATTGTCCCACTTTAAGGGGATTATAGAGTCTAAGGTATAATTGCCACTCCTCTAGCTCAAACGTCAGTCTTCTTCATCTGAAAGATGAGCAATGACTCCAACAACAGTGCTTAAACTTGACTCTCCCAGGCCCTCAGGCCAGGCCTTGATCTATGGGGCACTAACCCTTGTTTAACTCTGCACCTCACCTGTTCATGCACTGGATCCTGCTATTCTAAACACAGCTCAGAATTCCTCCAGTGGAATCCCGGCCTCCAGCCAACCCCATTGTGACTCGGTCTAAACTCTGCTCCCTTTCAACCAAGCTCCCCTGGTGTGATGGGGCACGAATACCACGGGCTGGCGGTATAAGTCAGAAGCATCAGAGCCAAAAGCCACATCTGGACAGGCTTCAGATCCTAAGAGACCATGGGTAAGACAGGAAAACCGAGTGTGACAGGCACAGAATTGTGGATTGTGGTCCTGGCCAGAGTCAAAGACCACAGGACACTTGGCTCTTTTTCATTCTCCTTATGGAACTTCAGGGCTTTACCTGGAATACTGGGTCTCTCTTCCCTCCTAAGGGTATTTGCTCAATCACTTATCCAGTCAAGCTTCTATGTTCTCTGAGCATCTATTTCGTACCAGGTCCTGTGTGAGGATTCAAGACAGTGATGAAAAGGCTGACGCTTCCTTAGAGGAACTCACAGTTGAAGGAGAATACAAGTGAACAGGCCCACCAGAATGCACTGTACTCTGACAAGAGTCATGGAAAGCAAGAGGAGGGACTCCTAGACAGAAGGGGAAGTCAGGGACAACTTTGTGATGGAGATGACAGTTCACTGGAGCTTTTGAATAGGATTAAGAGTCCTAGAGCTAAAGGCCCCACTCCTGGGGGGTGGGGGGGTGGGGCAACCCAGGATTGTTGACTTTAAGTTGGGATACTCTCAGCTCTCACAGACGATGAGAAAACCTGAGTGGGAGATGCTCTGGGTCTCCTCCCACATTTACTCAGCACCACCCTTGCCTGGTGGTGAGACTAACTGTGAAGCCAGACAGTCTCTCATCTCAAGGGCAGCAGCCTCTGAGGGATGCTCAGGGATGCATCCTGGGCTCCTCTTCCTTCCCACGCCTCCTTTCTTAGCCTCACAAGCCTCTGTTTCTGCTCTTCACCCCACTCATGACTTCTGGCCTCCTGTTTTCTCCTGAACTTTGGAGAACCAGAGGCAGCCCTTCTCAAGTTCACAGAGGGCATTCGTTCAGTAACCTCAGGAATGTGGAAGGGACGTACGATGGTGCCAGCCTGCAGAAGTGAGGGAAGCCCGCCTCCTTGTGGCACTGGGCGGCCCCACCTCCTCCTCTTCAGGTCCTTTCAACACCACGCTCCTTAGGAGCCAATCCCCATCACCTGCTCTGCACCTGGCCCGTCATCTTCCTTTTCTCTCGCCTTAGGCACTTCAAGGAAACCAAGCAAAGGTGGGCTCTAGTGTTGGGAGGGGAGGAGATGAGAATCCCGCAGTCACAGAGAACACAGCTAGATACATGGGCATCATCACACAGAAGCTCACTTATAATAATCTTCCTGCTCAGAAATGAAGGCTGTCTGCAGTCACAGGCCGACACAGGTGGAGTGGATCCTTGGGTGGGACGGACTCTGAAGACACTCGCGGGCTGATGAGCAAACCTTGAAAAAAAAGTCTAAAGGGGCAGGGAGGAGGATGTGTGGGTGGTGACACAGACACATCGGGGGAGAGGTAAGAACAATTTGGGAGGAGCTTAGGCTATTTTTCCCTGTTACTTTCCCTTAGTACTCAATCCCTCCATACCCAGGTCTCTATATTGGCTGGCGCTGCCCCCATTATCTATGGGACTGTTTCCGGATTGGGGATGAGTCCAAGTGCTTTTGTGGACACTTGCTGAGAGAGCACCAGATCATCTCAGGTATGGAGGGTAACTGTCTTCTGTCCTGTGTTGAGCTGTGTGAGAGCATGTGTGTGTGTGTTGGTTTGGGGAGAGGTTGACATGGGAAGGCCAAGCCCTGTCAGTTGCTGGTCTAACCCTCTTCACAGACATATCCGTGCCCTGCAACGTGGGCCAGTGCCACTGCCTCATGTTCTGCTTCATCCCGTCACGCCCAGAGGAGGTGGGTGAGTTCTGGCTCAAGAGACGGGCCACTTTTGACCCCAAGGCTTGGAGGGCCCAATGTCGCTGCAAACACAGCCATGAAGACCACACAGCTACTGGGTCCCATTCCTGCAGGGTCAAAGGTATCTTCTCCAGTAAGCGGAGTGCAGGGGTGGGCATGGGTTGGGATAGACTGCACGTGGTTTGGGGATGCAGGTAGGGAGTGGGGAGGAGAGACTTGGGCATGCAGTTGGTGAGGAGGATGTGAGGATGTGGGCAGCCCCTGGGGAAGCCCCAGTTCCCTGCACTCTCCCTGGCTGCCCTCTCACCGTAGGCTGTTGCTGCAGCTGCTTTGAGTCTAATTTCCTCTGTGCGGCCTGTGACCGGCGCTGGGAGGAACACGAGACGTTCTTTGAGACTGAGGAGACCCGGCGGCGAGGAGGGAGGCCACACGGTGAGAGAGACACCTAGGATCAGGGCCCACTCAAGGTCTGTAATCAGCCAAGCTGAAGGCACTCCTGCCCTCCGCCATCCCACCCAGGACTACTTTGCCCCTCCTTCCTGCAGCCCACACTTGCACTGACTTATACCCCCAGGAGCAGACTATGTGCCTTTTGCAGAGATGCCTACCCTCCGAGAAGCTGTCATCAACAACTCTGACTTCGAGGCCCTCCAGAAGCAGGGGCTTTCTGGCCATCCCAGCTCTCACCCTAGTCCCCCAGGGCTCCCTAGCCCACGCGACGTCCAGCCTGGCCCTCCATCTAAGCCCCATATCTGACCTTTTCACCTCTGCTCTTCCCTCCTCCAGGGACAGACACTGTCAACACCTGGCGCAGGCCTCTGTGAGCCTGGCCCAAATCAGCAATAAAGAGAAAACCACTGGAATCTGACTGACTCTGTATGAGGCAAATAGAGCCCAGCCTGGGGCAGACACCCTAGGACCTTGGAGTTAGCACCTCCAGGGGAGCAAGAGAGAGCTCCAGGCAGGAGACAGGGTAGATCTAACCATCTGCCTCCACCACACCTACATTCAAAAGGCTTTTTCTGGCATCAGGAAGAGAGAATGGCTTCAAGGAAGCCAAGGAGGGAGGGATTTCAAGGAGCAGTGATGTCAGATATAGCTGGGGGCTCCAGGAAGATAAATACTGAAAATGTCCATCGGATCTGCAATTAGAAAGTCTGGTGACTTCAGAAAGTGCAGTTTCAGTGGTGCAGTGGAGAGAGGAACCAAACAACAGTAAGTGTGAAGGAATTTCTGTAAGAAGCTTAGATGAAAAGAGCAGGGAAGAAGTCAGACAATATCTACAGGGGGGATGTGGAATCAAGGAAGCAATTTTTAGTTAGGAAAAAAGCATTTTTTGTAGTTAGGAGAGACCAGTAGAGAAAAAGACCTTGAAGGATACAATAGGAAAAGAGAGATGCCTAGGGAAGCCAGATCCCAAAGACAGAAGGAGAGGATGAGGTAAAGGCAGAGGTGAAGGGATTCAGTCTGGACAGGAGAAATACCACTTCCTGGGACCAGGAAGAAGGAAGAAAGGATGGGGCCCTCACTGAGTTTCAGGGACTAGAATTCTGTGGAAGTTTCTCTGTGAACATAGGAGACAAGGTCAGTTTCTGGTGGGGGAGGAAAGGGATAAGAGTGGGGGGGGGGGGCAGTAGAAGACAGGAAGAGGGATAAAGCCTTGGGAAGGTTAATGAAGGGAACTGGAGAAAATCTGATGGGTGGGTAACTGAGGATTCAGGTATAGTTGGAAACTGGAACCAAGTCAGAGAAGCAGAGAAGCAAAATATTTAGATTAATGGTGGTGATGGGAAAAGTGTCAGGGAGGAAGAAAAAAAGCCAAAAGAAGGCTTGAGGATGTGGAGGGAGCTGACCACACAAATAAGAAAAAAAAGTAAAGCCAGGATGCAATCAACAGTTTTTTAAAAAAAAAGGAACAGAAGTCTCTAATGAGGCCCAGTAGCAGATGCAGTGGTAGGGATCAAAGGACAGGAGACAGTGGCCAGAACCCACAGAGTGCTGCAGCTTTCAGAGAGCAGCTACAAGTGATCACAAGAGCCTGAAGCAGAGAAGCCAGGGGCCAGGGGCCAGAAAGGGTGAGTGTGTGGGAGAGACTAGGACGCCCATACATGATTCTAATGGAGAATAGCAGATTCTCACAGTAATGGGCTCTATGATCTTAGGCAAGTCACTTTCCCTCTCAGAGCCTCTGTTTCTGGGTCTATAAAATAGGATAACCTATGTGCCACCTGTGGCTTTAAGAACCCAAAGAAATAACCAGTTTCAAAGTGTTTTGTACTCATGTTACCAGTCCTGGCTGGTTTCTTCTTCCTACATCCCAGCACCTCTGATCTCCTGCCAGTCTCCACAGGCACACAGACTACTGCAGCCTCCAGGGCACAGAAAAGGCCAATGTACATTCCCACATTTAGTGAGGTCATCTATTTTTCCAAGGAAAGGAATGCAACTTTGACTGCTAGAACTCCTGGGGGCAATCGCAGGGTCAAACGTCTGCCTTCGGAAGGAGAAAAGACTCTCTAATATGGCTATTCAAAAGAAATTATTAGTATCTCCAGAAGTAGAATTTATTACTAGTTATTATGGAATTAGCACCATGATGACCATTAACTAAAACCAATTCAACTAGCAGTCAACAATAAAAGAATGGTTACTGCGATAAACTCATTTAAAGAAGTATTAATATTATGCAGCCATTACAAAGTATTTATATAGACTATGTAATACTATGGGAAATTGTGAAAAGGGGAATAAGAATGTAATATGTAATACATATGTATTATATATCATGGAAAAGGAAATGAAAGAAAACACCAAATGTTATCCATTCCACAAATAACTCATCCACTTTAAAACAAAAGACACAGTGGTGACTTTTGCCCTGTATTAAACATCAGACTAAAACTTACTTGGTTTGAGTATATTATATTAGCATTTTGTGATCCCATGTTTCTGATGTCAAAAAATATATATTCCAGCAGAACAAAATATACTTCTAACCTAGCCCTGAGGCAATTCCCCTCGTCCTTCGAACACGCCTGACTCACTGAAAATGCCAGGCACTGAGCGAACCGTATCACATACTTATTCTGAACAGGAAAGAACATTGGGCACATATTCCTTTGCTTATTAGTCGTGCAACAAAGACAGGACATTCCGGCCCCGACCGTTAAAAAAAAAAGAAAGCAAAATGCAAAACCGCTCTGAAAATAAACTGCAGAACCTTTAGTCTTGAAGTGAACAAGCACATAAACTAAGGAGGAATTGCCCTCAGACGACTAAGTTAACATTCTTGAGGGAGGTGGGAGGGGGGTTCAGGATGGGGAACACATGTAAATCCATGGCTGATTCATGTCAAAGTATGGCAAAAACCACTACAATATTGTAAAGTAATTAGCCTCCAACTAATAAAAATAAAGGAAAAAAAATTTTTTTTAAATCTTTGAAATGGTCAAGGGGCTGAAACTGTGGAGGAAATACTGGGTAATTATCCCACCAGTTAAAAAAAGACCACGTCCCTATTCACCTTCAGCCCTATTCGCCAGGCGTCCCCCACCCGCTTCTTTCCCGGGTATTCCGGGGGTCTGGAACTTCCGGACTAGTGTCCTGGAGCCAATAAACACCGAGTGGCCACCTCTCCAAGCCCCGCCCTCCTACTGGCCAATGAGCTTCTGAGCGGCAGGTGACGGAGCACCGCCCCCTTCCTCTCAGCCCACCAATAGGGGCCCGACCCAAATAGGCAGTGTCAATACGGTAAAAACCCCACTGCCCGGGAGCCGCAACCTAAAATGGGCCGACTTTGTGTTGAGAGCCAATTGGAGGCAAATCCCACCTCCAGGTGTCTCAGTCCTTCCACTAGAGTGAGAAACTATCTCACAGCGAAAACTAGTGCGGGGACCCAATGGTAAAGGAACTTTCACTCTGACTAGAGGATGACGCCAGCGGAGTAAAAATTCACCCTCGAGTTAGCACAAGAAGCCAACGGGAGGAAAAGACCCCGCGGCGGCCGCGGCGGCGGAGCCAGTGGGGCGCGCCCAGGGACGCTACCCAATGGGATGGCGGAGTTCCCGTCCGGCCTCGGCCGCAGCCAATGGCGGTGCTCGCCGGCTCCCCGCCGCCCCGCCTCAGCAGGCTGCGGAGCCCGAGTGCTGGGCCAGGTGGGAGGCTCCCGCGGCCGAGGCAAAGATGGCAGCGGCCGTGGTGCTGGCCGCCGGGCTCTGCGTGGCGCGTCGGGCGGCGGCGCTGGCAGGGCCTCGGGGGGTGCAGGTGAGAGGTGGCTGTGGGGCGAGGAAGGGGTCCTGCGAGCTCTGACTCCCTCCAGGGCCGGGGACTGCGTTCCTCCTCTGCTCCCCGCGGCTTGCGCAGCCCTAAGGCCTCGCGGGACCGCAGCCTGAGTGCCCGGCGGGGTACGTTGCCTCTCCCGAAGCGCAGGCTCCAGGGCTCTGCGCTGAGGTCGGACTGATGGTCGCGGTGGCCTCTCCTAAAACCTCGCCGCGGGGGAAACGAGCCGGCGATGGCCCTGACCCCGAGGTCGACACAAGGTCACTGCACCGTGTGCTGCCCTCTCCCAGCCAACCGAAGGCCTACACCCCGCGGCTCCTCAGTGCTCCCTGCAGAATTAGAGGGAGCCATTTGTTTTTTCTCCTGGGAGCCATTCTTCTCCCCATTTACTAGAACGATTCAAGGAGTCAGATGCACCTCGTCCCTTTCTCCCACAATGTGACACCGCTGCCTTCAGTCTTCTCTCAGCCCCTGGGAACCTGGGACTTACCCTCAGTTCCCTGGGGCTGGGGTTGTGTGCACTCAACTCCTCTCTCCTCTCTCTGACTTAGGAAGACTGGAGGCAAAATTCACAGTAAGAGGTCATGTGACACCCAGACGCCCTTGTGTCGAACAGGGCAGTTGTATTAAACCTAAATAAAACAGGTAACACAGCATAAAGATCAGACAAAAAGTAATGGAAGTGGAAACTTATTACAAAGAGATCCAAAGTAGTCTTAAGAGATGATACAAATCACCCCCCTTTATATCTGACGCTGAGACAAGGGATTTAGCTAAGGTAATTCAATAGTCCATGGGGTCGCAAAGAGTGAACAGGACTGAGTGACTAAACACACAATTAAACACACACTACTAAACAAAAAAAAAGCAGTAAAATAGGAACCAGGACGTAAGCCTCCGGGGTTCTCACTCTGCACCCTTTTCCCTGAACTGGGATAGATTTCCTTAGTGCTTCAGGAGTAGCACTCAATCACACTGCTGAGTCCTGCCCTGTCATACTGCCTGTTACCTAACCAGGCCCAGCACTATCTGGACCTACTCCCTGCTGCTGATACTCTGAAATCGAGGAACTCTCCCTTTGAGTGGGAACCACTAATGGGTTCTTAGAAGGGTGAAGTTAATGGCTGTCAAGAGTCCAGCCTCTGCCAGCCCCACCTAAGGACACGAGAGAGGTATTGCCAACTTCCTCCTTTGGGTGTGTCTGACCCACCTGCAGGTCCGAGGAGCTGCAGGTGTGACTGATGGGAATGAAGTTGCCAAGGCTCAGCAGGCAGCTCCTGGCGGGGCAGCCCCAACCATCTTCTCCCGGATCCTGGATCGGAGCCTCCCAGCTGACATCCTGTATGAGGACCAGCAGGTGCGGTGCCCTTAGGACCCACTCCCTAGAAATTTCATCAATACCACCCAGCCTGTGGAGGTAACATGGTGACCTCTGGCCTGTCACTGCTCCCAGTGTCTCGTATTCCGGGATGTGGCCCCTCAGGCTCCTGTGCACTTTCTGGTCATTCCTAAGAAGCCCATTCCTCGGATCAGCCAGGCTGAAGAGGAAGACCAACAGGTGGGAAGGACAGGGCCAGGGTTTGGCTGGGGGAGCCCTGTATTCCTCTAGAAATTTTGCTCCCTGTAAATGAAGCAACCTGTCTCCCTCCCCTTTCCCTGTAGCTTCTCGGACACCTTCTCCTTGTGGCCAAGAAAACAGCAAAGGCTGAGGGGCTGGGTGATGGATACCGACTTGGTGAGTGATGTTTGGCCCCTGAGCCCCTCTCTCGACGCTGAATTCTCATACCTGCCACTCCCTGTGACCATTCTTTGACCTTCCCATGATCCTCACCCCCTAACCCAAAACTCCTATTTCAGTGATCAACGATGGCAAGCTGGGTGCACAGTCTGTGTACCACCTACACATTCACGTACTTGGGGGCCGACAGCTCCAGTGGCCTCCAGGTTGAACCTACCAAATGACCAGGGATCCCAGACCTGGATGTTTGGATGGGATGGGGAAAAATAGCACCCTGTGATGCTAATAAACTCGCTCTCTGTCAATTCTGGATCCTTGTCTTAAATATAAGAAGATTTATACTACAAATAGGAAAGAAAACTGATTCAAGACTATGATCCCCCTTGACTATGGTCTGAGACACTTAAGGAAGCCCATTCTGTAAAGGAGCATGTTCCTATATATCTGTGAGCTCAAGACTCGTGGTCTACCTGGGTCAGGCTTCTAGAAAAGTAGTGGTAGGAATACGCCTGAATGAATAGAAAGAGATTGAATCCCAAGACTTGCTCAATTCACATGCCAAGCCACATTCTAAGGGGGGCTCTGTAAGGAGGATCGTCAATGTGAGAACCTTTTACTGGAAGAGAAATAATCACACCAAAAAAAAAGTGGCAATCCTTTGGCTAATCCCCATGTCTCACCATTTTGTTTTTGAGCTACTGTCTGATGTCTCTTCATCCTTAAAAGCTTTGAAAAAATGCCCCTGCATAAACACACGAAGCAGGCTTTTGACTGATACCATAGCCCTGTGCCTGTTATAAAACACAAAGAACCACCTTGCTGCTGCTGCTGCTAAGTCGCTTCAGTCATGTCCGACTCTGTGCGACCCCATAAACGGTAGCCCACCAGGCTCCCCCGTCCCTGGGATTCTCCAGGCAAGAACACTGGAGTGGTTTGCCATTTCCTTCTCCACTGCATGAAAGTGAAAGTGAAGTCGCTCAGTCGTGTCCGACTCTTAGCGACCCCATGGACTGCAGCCTACCAGGCTGCTCCGTCCATAGGATTTTCCAGGCAAGAGTACTGGTTGCCATTGCTTTCTCCGAAAGAACCACCTTAGAAAAACCTTAAAAAGGTCTGCTTAGGTACGGAAGCCAGCGGAACTTTTAAGAACCGGGCTGACGCGGAAGGGAATCCGGACGGAAGGCAGCCCTTCCAAACCACAGCGGGTTTAAGACTTCCGCCCCGCAGAGAACTTGCCAGCACTCTCACCCTCCACGTCCGCCCAGCTCTAGTTCTGCGCAGTCTCCTGGCATGATTTGCCGTCTCTATGGCAACCCGGTAGCTGGCGTCGGAAGATGGAGACCTCTGAGTCTACTGACAGATCACAGTCGCGGTGAGAGCCACAGCTCTGGCTGCGGGTGGAAGGGGACAAGGAAAGTTAACAGACTTTGCTGCGCTTCTGACAGCTTTGCCGCTTTCACTTTTTTTTTTTTTTTTCCTAGATCTTTAGACTTACAGCCCAGCTCTGACGGACTAGGGTCCAGTTCCGATCCCTTTTCTTGGGATGGCCGTCATAGATCGGCCCTGGTAGCTGCATCCGCCGCGGCTTCAGCAGCTGCTACAGCCGCCTCCACTGCCAGAGCAGCTGCATTATCGACCAAGAGCCCAGCCCCCTACTCTCATGGGAACCTGCTCACGGAGCCCTCCTCTGACAGTCAGACAGAGCGCTACACTGCGCCCAGATTTACCTACAAGACAAGCCATGGGAGACTCGGTTTTCAGCCTGTCGGTGTTTCCCGTATTGCTGGGAATCCCTATACTGCAAATGACCTAAGCTCTAGCCGTGGCCCTATTCCTGGCTCCAGTTCTGGCCCTGTTCCTGGCTCCAGCTCTGGCCCTGGTCCTGACTCCAGCTCTGACCCTGGACCTAGCTCCAGTTCTGGTCCTGGTGGTACCTCTGGTGGTGGCTCTGGTCAGGGTCCTGGTGGTGGCTCTGGTCAAGGCACTGATCTTGGTCCTGCTGTTGATTCCAGGCATAGCCCAGGCCATGGCCATGGCCCTGGGTTCAACTTCTCTGCTCCTGTAGGCTTCAGAAACCCCAGGGGAGATCTTATCCCTAATTATACCGGCTGCAAACACCACTGTCACTGGGAGCCGCAGAAACAATACTGGAAATTTTTGAAAGTCTCAGAACCTGGTGCCCGAGGGCTGTGGAAGCCCCCCGAAGTTGAAGGGAAGAGTACGGTTCTCAGTGAAACACTGCCACGGGGCCAGTGCCTTCTCTACAACTGGGAGGAGGAGGTATTAAGGTTTGACCTGCTCCCTTTTCTTGAAGGCTGCCCCCAGTTGATGGGGGTGGGTACAAGGAAGGATATCACTGTCACTCAACTTGGGTGTCTCTCTACAGAGAGCCACCAACTACCTGGATCAAGTCCCAGTCATGCAGGATGGCTCTGAGAGTTTCTTTTTCCGACACGGACACCGAGGACTGCTGACCCTGCAACCACAGTCACCTATGTTCTCCTGCACCACCCAGAAAGACTCATACCAGCCCCCAACAAGCCACTCTCAGCCAGTTCGAGGTATGAAACATGAGAGAATGGGCAAGAATGAGTCCAGTAGAGGGAAAAAGAGAGGAATATCAGGTGGGCCTATGGTTGTCCGAGGGGTATAAGGACAAAACCCAATTTTTCCTCATTTCCCCAACTTTGTTTCTTCTGGGCCTGTTTCTTAAGCAGCCTCCTCTATTCTGTCCATTCCCTGACCTCCCCCAGGGAAGCGTGAAGCCATACTGGAGATGCTCTTGCGCCAACAAATCTGGTGAGAGACTGGGTGAAGGGAAATGGGGAGGGGGAGGACAGAAGTCAGGGGAGAATGCCCTTGACACTCCCCAGGCCTGTGTAGTAAAGAGGTGCAGGCAGAGCAGGAACCCACAAGGAAGGAGCCTGAGGTCGAGTCTGTGACACACCACGACTACAAAAAGGAGCTGGTGCAGGTGGGGCCTCCTGCCCCGACAAAGGTAAGAGCGCGGGCACCCCCGCCCCCCACCCATGCACAGCCGGGCCCTGACAGGCTGTGGGAAAGCAGCCAGCCCCGACGCTGAAGAGTTAGCTCTTCAGGCCCAGAGTCATGTGGTATTTCCCTCACAGCTCCACGACTACCGTACAGAGCAGCCTGAAACCTTCTGGCTAGAGAGGGCACCACAGCTTCCGGTGTGTAAGGGTGACTGGGTGCTAGGTGCTGGTGAGAGGAGGGGAGGTGGCTGTTCTGCCCCAGCGTGGTGCAGAGCGGGCCCAGTCCTCATTGTGGCACCGCTCCAGGGTGTCAGTAACATCAGGACCCTAGACACGCCGTTCCGGAAGAACTGCAGTTTCTCAACGCCCGTGCCTCTGTCGCTGGGGCAGCCGTTGCCCTTTGAACCTGAGAGTTATTCCCACCAGGGAGAAATATCTTCCCTTGCCTGTCAGGGAGGGGGGAAGGGTGGTGGAGGGGGTTGAACTACTCCTGTCTAAGGGCTGAGGAGGCAGGTAGCTGTGGAACATGGAATCTCCTTCTCTCTGTGCTGGAGAGGTGGGGAGGAAGTGAATTTGGTCTGTACTTGGTGACAAGGTTTTACATAAAAAGTGTTCTCTCTCATCCTGAGACTGCTGATTCAGTGATTCTGTGAGTTACTGTGTCCATACCCCAGAACCTTTCCTTGGAGCCGCCCCTAATGCAGACTGTGTCACCCATAACTGTTTTTGTTTGTTTGTTTTATATTTGGCCAAAATATTCTGGTTTAGATACAGATATTTACAGAAGGTAGGGAGGAAGGGGACCAGGCCAGAGAGGGACAGGTATATGTACAAGACTGAGCTGCAAAGGGCAACAGTTTCCGTATAAGGTGGGGGTTTTATGCATGTTGGTTTCCATCTCATGTGACAATGTCCACTTCTGATGTGTGGAGAGATGATGGCTACTGCCCACCCAGGTACCAGCAGCAGGGGATTGTCTGACTTGGGAAGAAGTAGGGTTTATAGGAGCCCAGCAGGTCCTTTCCGCTCTCCTAGGAGCCAGTAAGTTCGCATCTTTCCTTTTCCCTGGAATTGGGGGAGCAGAGATAATTCAGATTCTTCTGTTATTCCTCATACCTCCCTCTCTTCCCCCATGGCCTCCACAGTCACGTTGATCCTCCCTTTCCATGACTCCCTGTGGCCTGCCATCACCTTCATCTCCACATCCCCTCGAAGCTCTAGCTGGAAGCATCCAAGCTCATCCAGGGCATCCTTGGTGGTAGAGGAGACATGAATCTTCAGGGCTGGGGCAGGACAGGAGAGATGACGGAAAGAAGAATCAAAGAAAAGGCAACCGAAGAACTGCAGTATCAGAGAGAGCTTTACCCGACCACCATCCCTCAGGGGGGTCTCAGTGTTCCTGGGGCACATGCATTAGAACCAAAATATGTCCAAGGGCAGGGCAATCAGGAACTTCGGTCAATCCAATTGAGATATTTGGAGGAAGTCTGAAAGGAAGAAAAGGCCAACCCAGATGGAGGCTGAGGCTGATGTCTCACCTTGACCATTAGACTCCATTCGGGAAGCAGTGTTCACTGTGTCTCCGAAGAGACAATAGCGGGGCATCTTCAGGCCGACGACCCCAGCACAGACGGGCCCTGTTAGAAGAAACAGGCTGGAAGAGCCTGGGGAAGGTGGGTACGAGGGCAGGAGGAAGAGTCAGCGCTACCTGTATGGACCCCTATGCGCAGCCGCAGTTGGTCGTGGGGTCGGTGGCGGATGCGGAAGGAAGAAACTGCATCCAGTAACGCCAGGGCCATACGAGCAATTTCTGGGGCATGACGCTGACCATTTCTGCCTGGGAGACCAGATACCACCATGTAGGCATCTCCAATCGTCTCTACCTGATTGAGAGGGGGATAAAAAGGTCATCTCTATCTGTATCAATGGGGGTAGGGAAGAGTAAGAGGAGAGAAGCTGAGTACACCATGAGTCATCCTGGCAGCCGGGAAGCCAGACACTGACTGGCAAGTAAGTGCCCCGGTCCCAAGAATCTGGGAGAAGCAGGCCCAATGAAATGAGCCCTACATAGCCCAAAGTGTCAAAGGAAAGAAAGCAGGCACTTGGCTTTGTTAACTGTACTGAAGCAGTATAAGAGAAGGCCCTGGTTTTTAGGAACTACACAGAGACTTATTTAGGAATGAAGGGCCACTGTGTCTGCCACTTACTTGCACAAGGTTCAGAAAATAATTATATGGATATATAGATTTTTTTAAAATAATGCAAATGGGAAATATAATTGGTAAATCCAAATAAAGGGTTTATGGGAATTCTTCATTATGGTAAATAAGAGATGGCAGAGTGAATCCAAAGGGAAGGGACAAGAGTGGGTATTTATTATCTACACAATGTTAGGCACTTATTCACAATAAGTCTATTATTCCCATCATACAGATAAAACATCTGAGGCTCAAAGAGCTTCTCTTACTTGCCCAAGGCCATACAGCCACAAAGTCAGATCGTTTTTTATTCCCAAGCACCATAAAGCCTACCTTAAATGACTCAATGACTTCAACAAAAAGCTTTCACTACATATCTTGTCCTTCACCGCAATATATCATTCTATACCCACATCCTATATACTTCCTCCATGTCTGGAGGGGATGAAGAGAAAAGATGGCTAGACTGACCATACCCTCAGTCAAAAAGTGGCAGACTAGATCTTGTGATGGTTCTGATTAGGGAAGGCTCAAGGATTCACAAGGGATTAGACTGGGATGTACAACTACAGTGCCAGAGCCTCAGTTGTCTATAAACAGCACTCCAGCAGTAGAATGCCAGAGACTCAAGCGGGAAAGCTGACCACGGGGCAGGTAAGGCACGTGGGGTTCGGGAGACTGGGTTTTAAAGGAGTGTCAGTGGAAGGGCAGCCCCAGTTCTCACCTTGTAGACGTCAAAGTTGTCAATTATGGCATCGAAACATGTATACAGATCGTTAAGAAGTGTCACCACCTAACAGGGATGGAAAGAAGAGGCCTTAAAACTTGTGCCTGACTTTCTAAGAATTCTTAATATACGAGCCGTGACAAGATATGGAAACTCCAGAACAAGCTAGTCTTTCCTATTATCAAGGATCTCTATGCGCCAGTTAAGCTCCCCTAGGTGCCCCCCCACCGCCCCTGGCCCCTAACCTGTCTCTCACCTGCATGGGGGTGCTCTCTGCCGACAAAGCTGTGAAGCCAACGATGTCACTGAAGTAAATGGTAACGCTGTCAAAGGCCTCAGCCTGTACAGTCTCTCCCCGTTTTAACTGCTCTGCCACTGAACTAGGAGGCAAGGGTACAGTCCAAGCCAGACTCAGAGAAGGGGGCAAAGGGAGAGGAAAGGAGTGTATGGCTGGAGCAGAAATGGGTTCTAACGTGAAAGCTGAGCCTGGAGGAGGAGAAAGAAGGTGGCTGGGAAGTCATGACAGTCCAGAGCAAGATAGGGTAGACACGTGGTGGGGGTTGGAAGAGGATCCCTGGGCTGCAGGCCAAATGTCCTAAGATGGGACTGTTCTACCTACATTCACTGGAGTGAAGCTCTGGTAGAGCAGCATCCTAAGAAGAAGGGATAGGAGGCCAGGAAGAAGGCAGCACAGTTCATTTGGAGACAGAATGAAAAACATGGTCTAGAGCCAGAATGGGCTCACAGTAGCAAGATGTGACAAAGCAGGGTTCTGAGGGTTGGGAAGGGAGTTGTCAGAAGCTGGATGAGGTAGAAAGCAATACAGCAGACACCAAGGGAAAATTCAGGAAGGGGTCAGAAGTCTCACTGGGGTAGAATTTGGTAGAGCAGAGCCTCAGCCTTGCGTTTCTCTTCCAGGTAGGCCTGTGTGCGCTCCTCCACCAGCTTCTCCAGGTTGTTGGCATACTGCTCCATGCGCAGCAGGAGGTTGTCCAATATGCTGGTGCCACCTTCCCTGGAAGGAGGACAGGATATGGTATCTGCTCCAAGATGTTCAAGACTCCCAGGGCTTTCTACCCAGCCCACCCTCTTGGCCCCACCAGCCCCACCTCATCCACTAAGACTGATGAGGCCTCTATCCCTGGGGAGCCCCTGCCCCGTCATGCCCTCTCACTTGTTAAAGCGGCGAATGAAGCCCTTAATCTGTCCAAAGTCTGGTCGTTCAGCAGGGTCCTGGGCCCAACATCGCTCCATCAGCAAAACTAGCTCTTCATTCAGTTGGGTCCGGTCAATACTTGGCCGGAAATAAGGCCGCTGACCATTCCGGACCTTCTGGACAATCTCTGAGGGTGATCAAAGGCTTGGTTGAAGAACAGGTCCTCCAGGTAGGGGAAGCGCTGGGTAGTAGATTGACTCTTACCTTTGGGGCTGAGATCCAGGCCCTCCAAGTAGAAAGGCCCACTGCGAAGTGCTATCTCCTGTAAGATGATCCCAAAGCTATAGACATCAGCCTTCTGCATGCCTGTGGTCGGCAGGGGGTTCCCACTGAGCAGTTCTGGGGCAGTCCACAGCTTCTCTGAAAAGAGGAAACCAGGTCTTCAAAGATGGAATCCCCAAGCCCACGTGAGCTCATTCGCATAATGCTCGCCGCAGTACTGTCACTCCATCTCCCTCTCCCACCCTCCCTAAGTGGAAATGATCAGGCCCAGGGGAGGGTAATGCAGAAGTGGGTTGTGGGAAAAGGCCTCACTGGCATAGAGGGCATGGCTGTCATCAGGTTCAGCAGTTGATCGGAAGCTGGCCAGGCCATAGTCTGTGATTTTGAGCACGAAACGACTATCCACCACACAGTTGGAGGACTTGAGACTCCCATGGGATGCAATAATGCTGTTATGGAGAAAGGCCATGCCCTGCAGGATACAGATCAAGTCATAGGATCGGATCATATCTGGCTTAGGATACCCCCTCTCCACGAGATGGGCATTAGCTAGCTGTCTAAAGATCTCGGGGCCATAAAAAGAATATGCTAATTTTGGAAGGCATCCTTTGTACAGTTTCCACTCAAGGAAGCAGGCAAAAATAGGAGAGTCATCTCTTCCATGGGCTTCCCTGGTGGTGCAGATGGTAAAGAATCTGCCTGCAATGCAAGAGACCTGGGTTTGATCCCTGAGTTAGGAAGATCCCCTGGAGGAGGGCATGGCAACTCACTCCAGTATTCTTGCCTGGGAAATCCCATGGACAGAGAGCCTGGCAGGCTATAGTCCATAAGGTTGCAAGAGTCCGACAAAACTTAGCAACTAAACCACCACGTCTGCCTGGTACCTTAAGCAATATATCAGCACCTAAGCACCAGGGACAGGAGACATGCGTAAGAAGAGGGACGAAGGGAGCCATCAGTTATTACCCTGGAAAGGGCAGTCTGTCTTCCGAGTAATGAAGGGAACAGAACTATGAGGGTGAACTCCAAGAATACTACACCCACGATGGCCTCAAATGCTTGGCCACTGCTCAGGAAGGCATGCTTTGAGATCCAGGTATTAAGAGTACCTAGATGCACC